TAGAAAAGTCCGAGGCTCGCCGCAAGGAGCTGGAGGAGAAGATGGTGTCCCTGCTGCAGGAGAAAAATGACCTGCAGCTCCAAGTGCAGGCGGTGAGGCCACAGGACGATCATTTCTCCTATTGTGATTATAGCCCATTTTGTCACCTGGGATTAAAAGTCTAGAAGCTCTAATTCTCTTTTAAAACTCTCCTCTCTTTACTCACCAGCTTCTTTATCTTTTTCTACCAGGAACAAGACAACCTCAATGATGCAGAGGAGCGCTGTGACCAGCTGATCAAGAACAAGATCCAGCTAGAGGCCAAGGTCAAGGAGATGACTGAGAGGATGGAGGATGAGGAGGAGATGAATGCAGAGCTCACTGCCAAGAAGCGCAAACTGGAAGATGAATGTTCTGAGCTCAAGAAGGACATTGATGACCTGGAGCTGACACTGGCCAAGGTGGAGAAGGAAAAGCATGCAACAGAGAACAAGGTGAGGCCAGCTGCCTCTGGCTCCATGTGTCCTGAGGATTCCCAGACCAGAGTGTGTCATGTTACTTGGCACGGAAGTCCCCATAGGTATATCCAGACTGGTGAATTTTGACCCTAAAGAGGGTGGGGTTTTGTTTTCAGGTCAAGAATCTGACAGAGGAGATGGCTGGGCTGGATGAGATCATTGCCAAGCTGACCAAGGAGAAGAAAGCTCTACAAGAGGCTCATCAGCAGGCTTTGGATGACCTTCAGGCTGAGGAAGACAAAGTCAACTCCCTGACCAAGTCTAAGGTCAAGCTAGAGCAGCAGGTGGATGATGTGAGTAGTAAGAATCATGCTCCTTCTCTCTTGGCCTAAGATTTTGCAGTCACTATAAATGGTCAAGGAATTCCTAATCACTGCAACTAACTTCTGTGCCCACCCCCCCCTGAGATTTTATTTTTGTTTTTGTTTTTGCTTGCTGATATTCCTCATTAAGCTGGGTCTCTGAATCTTTTGTTCTTGCAGGACTCTTAGTTGGCTACACTTGTAATCCTACAGGACTTCAAGATTCACAAGGAGCAGACCATGCTTGTGGATTTCAGGGGTGTTGTTTTTGTTTGTTTGTTTGTTTGTTTTTATACATTGTTCATTTTCTTTTATCCATCAGCTGGAGGGATCTCTGGAGCAAGAGAAGAAGGTACGCATGGACCTGGAGAGGGCAAAGAGGAAGCTAGAGGGTGACCTGAAGCTGACCCAGGAGAGCATCATGGACCTGGAGAATGACAAGCTGCAATTGGAAGAAAAGCTCAAGAAGTGTGTAACTGTGGTGACTAGGAGGGGCTGATGAAGATGCCGAGTCTGTTTATGACAGCACAGGACACTACAGTTCCTCTGTCCTGGCTGCTCAGGGCACACTGGAATGAGGGGGAGGGGGATTATAGGCATCTCCTTTACTCTCTGGGCTGGGATTTGGGCACTAGTTCTGTTATAAAATGGGAGGAAAGAATAGGCCCAGAAGAGGCAAGACCACAAGTCACCACTCTGCTTCTCCTTCAGAAAAGAGTTCGACATTAATCAGCAGAATAGTAAGATCGAAGATGAGCAGGCCCTGGCTCTCCAGCTTCAGAAGAAACTGAAGGAAAACCAGGTGACATTCTCCCCATTGCAGCCAAAGGAAGCAGCCAGGGCCTCCCAGAAGCCAAGGGAAGCTTAGGGTTCTAGACCTAGCTGGAAGTCTAAGCACCCCCAGAGACCCAATCATCCTTGACTTATAGGAATAATAGTCAAGTATTTCAGCCAAATTATTTGGGGGAAGAATATACCTACTTAAAAGGCCTCCTTTTCTGAGATATGCTCTAGAACAAGTGATGGGGCTCCATTCTCCTCCAATTCTCCGCCTTCTTTATGAGGTGTAAGGCAAAGCTCAAGGAGCTTTGGGCTGCTGCCTTCATGTTCTTCCTGGTACTAACCCTGCCCTAACACAGGCTAGATCCCTTTAGGCACCCCTGGAGTGCAGGCAACTTCTACCACCTAGAGCAAGTCACCCACCATCCCTGGTCCTCACATTCCCTTCTCATCTGTAAAATGGAACTTAGGACCAGACGAGATGATGTATGTGAAACTAATTTGTTGGAAGTGAAGGTGTGGCTCAAGTGGTAGACTACCAGCATGAAAAATCTAAAGGACCGTGCCCAGGGCCTGAGTTCAAACCTCAGTATCAGCACGTGCACAAACTAACTATCTCTAGCCATTACTGGATCACCTCTGGGGTGCAAAACTACCCCCAAGAAGAGAATCACTGCTTGAGAGGAACTTTAGTCCTTGAGAATCTTCTAGGGCCCTGGGGTGGAGCTCCCATGGAGGGATACCCATGATGGGTCTGAGCCCTTTGTGTCCCTGCACAGGCGCGCATCGAGGAGCTGGAAGAGGAGCTGGAGGCTGAGCGCACTGCTAGAGCCAAAGTGGAGAAGCTGCGCTCAGACCTGTCTCGAGAGCTGGAGGAGATCAGCGAGAGGCTGGAGGAGGCCGGCGGGGCCACATCCGTGCAGATCGAGATGAACAAGAAGCGTGAGGCTGAGTTCCAGAAGATGCGGCGCGACCTGGAGGAGGCCACGCTGCAGCACGAGGCCACGGCGGCGGCCTTGCGCAAGAAGCACGCAGACAGCGTGGCCGAGCTGAGCGAGCAGATCGACAACTTGCAGCGGGTGAAGCAGAAGCTGGAGAAGGAGAAGAGCGAGTTCAAGCTGGAGCTGGATGATGTCACCTCCAATATGGAGCAGATCATCAAGGCCAAGGTGGGCCCTGCTCAGCCTCTCTTCATCATCTGCCTCTCACCTGTGTCTTCCTCTTACGTTCTCTCTTCATCTATTATCTCTTACCATTCTTGTTTCTTTCTTCCCCTTTTGGTCTTCTCTCTACCCCGCCCTTTCTCTTGGCCTCACTCACATCTATCTTCTAGCTTCTTTAGTTCATGTCTCGTTTTTAAACTGAGCCCCTCTCATACTGCCATGTCACTCTGCCTTCCGTGACTTCCAAATCTTGGCCTTCTCTTCCATCCTCTGGTCTGATTGGCCCAGCCACTTCTCCCTACCAACCCTAGCCCTTCCTACACTCACCTTTCCTGTGGCCATTTCCTCCTAAAAGGCAAACTTGGAGAAAGTGTCTCGGACCCTGGAAGACCAGGCCAATGAGTACCGAGTGAAGCTGGAAGAGGCTCAGCGCTCCCTCAATGACTTCACTACCCAGAGAGCCAAGCTGCAGACTGAGAATGGTGGGCATCCCAACCAACCCTGAATGTTCCCTGCTTAGGGCTTTGATTGTTCCTTCAATGGCCCATGGACCCCCCTATTTCACCTCTAGGAGAATTAGCCCGACAACTGGAGGAAAAGGAGGCACTAATCTCCCAGCTGACCCGAGGGAAACTCTCCTATACCCAGCAGATGGAGGACCTCAAGAGGCAGCTGGAGGAGGAAGGCAAGGTAAGGTCCAACTACAGCTGGTGGTCTAGGCTCGATGATAGCTCTGGCCAGAAATATTCCTGGAGGCTAGAGAGAGCACATTAGTCTATCCGCCCAGCTACATGACCCCCAAGATTACTTAATAACTTTTATTGTAAGGGGGATGGAAGACACACTGAAAACTCTACCTTAGCCCTTCTGTTGGATAAGGCTGAAGCATAAATTGAGGGCATAAGATAAATAGATACAGGGATCTAGATTAGAGATATAAGGCTCTCAATAGGTGACAAGAATTCCCTGCCACCATCTTAGTATTCACTTCTCTCCAGGCCAAGAACGCCCTGGCCCATGCGCTGCAGTCGGCCCGGCATGACTGTGATCTGCTGCGGGAGCAGTATGAGGAGGAGATGGAGGCTAAGGCCGAGCTTCAGCGTGTGTTGTCCAAGGCCAACTCAGAAGTGGCCCAGTGGAGGACCAAATATGAGACAGATGCCATCCAGCGGACCGAGGAGCTGGAAGAAGCCAAGTGAGCTCTAAATGGCTCCTACCCTGACTCTTAGAAAGAAACCAAACAATCTAAGATAAAATGAGCAGAGTAGATATAGGAAAGAAGTTGGGGTGGGGTAGAAAAAAAGATGAGAGAGATGTGGTGGGCAATAGAAGTGCTTGAGAACAAAGCCTGGATCCTGTGAGCTGGGAGCCCTGGCTGACTCTGATCCCACTTCCTGTGACGGGCGAGCTTTTGGCCCGGGTTATACCTGATCTTCGCGTATAAGACGAGCAAAAAGCTTGTTGGTCAGAGGAGATATCATCGATCAGCCTGGTGTGAGGTGAAAGGCACTGCCATGCAGATGTACCATACCTGTGGAAGAGGACTCTGAGTAGCCTGGGTTAGTGGACACTGCTCTTCCCAGGTCAGTGAAGAGGGACTTAGTCTTCCTCATTGCCAGGATAGGAAATAGGTTGTCCCACAGATTCACTGCTCCCAAGTAGATTCACGCTCACAACCCTGGGCAGGAAGAAGCTGGCCCAGAGGCTGCAGGATGCTGAGGAAGCTGTGGAGGCTGTCAATGCCAAGTGCTCCTCGCTGGAGAAGACCAAGCACCGGCTACAGAATGAGATCGAAGACTTGATGGTGGACGTAGAGCGCTCCAACGCTGCTGCCGCAGCCCTGGACAAGAAGCAAAGGAATTTTGACAAGGTGGGCCCGGGGGTGGGAGCTGAAGCCAGTGTGAAGTCCCAGGGAAGCCAGAGGAGCAGTACCAGGCCAGAGCTGCTGTCCTTGTAGACAGGGGAGGAGGGCTGAGCCCAGGCCAGGGGCCTAGGGCAACCCCTGGAGGGGGGATGGACACAGGTACTTCAGTGAGCTGTGACACCCCCCCACCCCCAGATCCTGGCTGAGTGGAAGCAGAAATATGAAGAATCCCAGTCAGAGCTGGAGTCATCACAGAAGGAGGCGCGCTCCCTGAGCACAGAGCTCTTCAAGCTCAAGAATGCCTATGAGGAGTCTCTGGAGCACCTGGAGACCTTCAAGAGGGAGAATAAGAACCTTCAGGGTAGGTGGACCTGAGGCAGGGAGGGACCACGGGGCAGGAGTGCTGCGTGAGGCCACTGGGGAACACAAGTTATGAGCTTTCTGGCCTTTTAACCCCCAGAGGAGATCTCCGATCTGACAGAGCAGCTGGGAGAAGGAGGAAAGAATGTACACGAGCTGGAGAAGATCCGCAAGCAGCTGGAGGTGGAGAAGATGGAGCTGCAGTCAGCCCTGGAGGAGGCTGAGGTGAGGGCCAGTGCTCCCTGCAGTGCTCCCTGTCTGAACTACTGTTTCCTAGGTTGGAAACAGTAACTTCACCTGGGAGTGACCCTGACCCCAGGACAAAATCTATTAGCTCCTGTTCTCAGTCCAAGGTCATCTAACCACTACCCACAACAACTACCAAAGCCAAAGTCACACTGGAAAACGTTACAATCTGATTTTAGGCCAGAAAATGTGTTTTTTAGCAGAGTTTTTGAAGTAGGACTCTGGCCATCAAAGTAACTGCTTGAGGCTGGGTGCTGGTGGCTCATGTCCATAATCGTAATTACTCAGGAGATTGAGATCAGAGGGTTTAGATTCAAAGCCAGCCTAGGCAAGAAAGTCCATCATACTCTGATCTCCAATTAATTACCAAAAAGCCAGAGGTGAAGGTGGCTCAGGTGGCAGAGCATCAGCCTTAAGTGAGAAAACTCAGAGACAGAGCCCAGGTCCTGAATTCAAGCCCAATACTGGCACCAAAACAAACAAACCCTGCTCAGACAGTGGGCAATAACAAGGGCTCTACACTCAAACTGAGCCTGAAACCTGTCTTGGGAACCTCTACCATGCCCTCAGGCAAACTCCTTAACCTAATATTTCAGTGTCCCCATCTCTAAGATGGAATTAATTTTCATGCCCTATAGTGTACATACCGTATAAGTAAGATTATTACAAAGATTAAATGAGGTAACATACTCTAGCACTTAGTATATATTAGCTATTGTTACTGTGCATTTTAAGAAGCTAGCCCCAAGTTTAGAGGCCTCTAACTTTTTTTAACTTTAAGATTTTTATGGGCTAGGGATGTGGCTCGGTGGTAGAATGCTCACCTAGCATTCATGAAGCCCTGGGTTCGATTCATCATGTACCACATTCACAGAAAAAGCTGGAAGTGGTGCTGTGGCTCAAGTGGCAGAGCTCAGGGACAGTACCCAGGCCCTGAGTTTGAGCCCCAGGCCTGGCCAAAAAAAAAAGTACTAGTATATATTAGTTGTACAAAGAGAGTTTCATTGTGACACCTCCATACATGCATACAATGGACCCTATCAGCCTCAGTCCCTCTAATATTCTCTTATTCCCCCTTCTTCTTAAAACAGTTCCAACTGGATTGATTTTTCTATTTTCATATGTGTATATATAGAACTTTGACCATACTCATCTTCATTCATTCTCTTTCCATTTACCTTCCTCTTTCATAGAACCTGTTTTACACCCTACCATTCATTTTTTAGTGTATATTAGTTACACCAATTAATTCACCATGATATTTTGCACATTCATGTATTATACTTTAATCAGAGTAGTCCTCTCTCTTGCTCTCTCTAAGTCCCTCAACCCTCCTGTCATTTAACAGCTTTCAGTGAGATTTCTTTCTGTGTGTATGCCAGTCCGAGGACTTAAACTCAAGCCCTGGGCTCTCTCTTTGAACTTTTTTACTCAAAGGAAGCACTCTACTTCTGAGCCACAGCTCCACCTTCAGTTTTTTGCTAGTTTATGGAGACAAGAGTTTCACAGACTTTCCTGTCTGGGCTGGCTTTGAACCACAATCTTCAGATGTCAGGCTCCTGAGTAGCTAAGATTTCAAGCATAATCTACCAGTTCCTGGCTTCAGTGAGTTCTTTTCATATTTATCCATAGAAACAATGTATTTTGGTATTATTCACCTTCCATCATTCTCTTTCTCTTTCCCTCTCCCCCTTCCCCATCTTCCCAAATAGTCCCATTCTTACAATCAAGTTCTATAGATGTGTGTATATGTGTGTATAAGTGTAGTGTGTGTATCTCTTTAAAAGTCTAGTTCCCAGGCACTCATGGCTCATACCTATAATCCTAGCTAAGTCAGAAGGCTGAGATCTGAGGATCACTGTTTAAGCCATCCGTACAAGATCTGGAGCTGTGGTTCAAAGTGGTAGAATGCTAGCCTTGAGCAAAAAAGCTCAGGACAGTGCCCAGGCCCTGAATTCAACCCCCAGTAACAACAACAACAAAGTCTAGCTCACACAAATGAGAAATAACATAATATTGGGTTCTTTGAACTTATCTGGTCAACATGACAATTTCTTCTAACTCTTCTCAGTAAAAGATGAGGAACTTTGGAAACAGAGTTCTGAATTTGTCGTTTTAGAATTTTTCCTGTGATTTTCAAGTGGGTCAGAAAGTCTCTCAGTATTAGTACCAAAGGTCTGGTAGTTGAAAAGTACAAAATTAGGCTGGGAAGGTGGCTTAATGGTAGAGTACTTGCCTCGCATGCATGAAGCCCTGAGTTCAATTTCTCAGTGCCACATAAGCAGAAAAAGTTGCAAGTGGTATTGTGGCTTAAGTGGTAGAGTGCTAGCCTTGAACAAAAGAAGCTCAGGAACAGTGCCCAGGCCCTAAGTTGTTCAAGCCCTAGGACTGGCAAAAGAAAAGAAAAGAAAACTCTTTTCTTCACAGAAACACACACACACACACACACACACACACACACACACACACACACACACACACACACACACCATGAGTTGGGAATACCAAAGAGTCCAGCCCTTCCTCCCAACAGCATCTCCCTTATCTCTTCTCAACTCCCTTCTCCAGGCCAGGCATCCTCTTGGCCTCCCCTTTCATCCTAAGGCCTGACTGTTGTCTCAAACCTGTTTTCCAACCCCTCCCAGGCCTCCCTGGAGCATGAGGAAGGCAAGATCCTCCGTGCCCAGCTGGAGTTCAACCAGATCAAAGCAGAGATTGAGCGGAAGCTGGCAGAGAAGGATGAGGAGATGGAGCAGGCCAAGCGCAACCACCTTCGAGTGGTGGACTCTCTGCAGACCTCCCTGGATGCAGAGACTCGCAGCCGCAATGAGGCCCTGCGGGTGAAGAAGAAGATGGAGGGTGACCTCAATGAGATGGAGATCCAGCTCAGTCAGGCCAACAGAATAGCCTCAGAGGCCCAGAAGCACCTGAAGATTTCCCAAGCCAACCTGAAGGTAACACAAGCATGGACTCTCAAAGTGAGAGTGAGTAGAATGTCCAGAAACTCAGTGAACTTCAGAGAAAAAGGATCTTGGGCTAATAAACATAAGAAAGTGGGCTGGGTGCCGGTGGCTCACACCTGTAATCCTAGCTACTCAGGAGGCTGAGATCTGAGGATTGTGGTTCAAAGCCAGCCAGGGCAGGAAAGTCCATGAGACTCTTATCTCCCATTAACCACCAGAAAACTGGAAGTGGTGCTGTGGCTTAAGTGGTGCAGCGCTCACCTTGAGCTGAAGAGCTGAGGGACAGCATCCAGGCCCAGAATTCAAGCCCCACAACTGACAAAAAAAAGAAAAAAGAAAAGAAAAGAAAGTGGGAACTATTTGTTTTTCTAAACTTGAAGGCTTGAGGATCTGTATGTCCTGGACTAGCCTAACTTCCAAGACTAGACAACAGACTCCCCTCTTCCAGTAAACCAGAAGTTGACAGGATGGGATGGGGGAGGCCTCTGTGTGATGAGATCAAGGCTTTCCTGCATCATGCTTCCCCCATAGGACACTCAGTTGCAGCTGGATGATGCAGTCCGTGCCAATGACGACCTGAAGGAGAACATTGCCATTGTGGAACGGCGCAACAACCTGCTACAGGCAGAGCTGGAGGAGCTTCGGGCTGTGGTGGAGCAGACTGAGAGGTCTCGGAAGCTGGCAGAGCAGGAGCTGATTGAGACCAGCGAGAGGGTGCAGCTGCTGCACTCCCAGGTATGGGGGGAGGGGAAGGGGGTGTCAGCAGCCACTGTGCAAAGTGTGCTGAGTGCGAGAGTCCAGAACATTTGTAGAAACCAGATGTTCTGAGTGAGCATGTGCCATCAGGATCACACATTATTTCACCTGTTAGGTCAATTCTCATTCGTTAGTATCAGCTGCCAGAATCTGTATCTTGAGAAGGGAGTCTAGACTTCAAAGCTAAAAATGCAATGATTGATTGGTCATGCCTGCCAAAATCACCTAACAGAGAGTAGTAGAATGCAATCTCTATTCAGTATCCTTGATTTAGAAGACAGCCTCCAGCTTGCTGTGCAAAAATGAGAATATAAGAGTTCAGAGAAGCATGACTACATCTCCTTAGCAACTGAACTCTGGCTAGAACATCATGTTCCACAAGCTGCTCACCCTGTTAAGTTATACTCTGCAATGAGTGAGTTTGTGTCCATCAATTGCAGTGCCCTGTGGAATGTGGTTCTTTAAGTTAGTATCTGTGCAAACAACTGTATCCACTGACCTTGTACCCTCTTCTTTAGCCTGGTACATTTTTCTCTAATTATAATCATTTCCAGAATATTAGTGTGTGTGTGTGTGTGCGCGCGCACGTGCGCGTGTGTGTGTGCTGGTACTAGGGCCTGAATGCTGTCCCTTAGCTTTCTCACTCAAAGGTGGCATTCTACCACTGGTGCTTCCAGATTTTTGGTGGTTAATTGTAAATAAGTGTCTCACAGACATCAACCTGTCCAGGTTGGCTTTGAACTGGGATCTTTAAATCTCATCCTCCTGAGTAGCTAGAATTACAAGCATAAGCCATTGATACCCAATCTAGAAAAAAGTTTGTCCATTTTCCATATTCCTATATATAAACACATTACTGGGGTTTGAACTCAGGACCTCAGGGAACTCATCTTTCTCCATCATAGCTGGCATTCTATCACTTGGGCCACACCTCCAACCCTGATTTTTGCTGGTTATTTTGGAGATGGAGTCTCAGAGACTTTTTCTGCTGACTGCAAATTTTTTTTTTTTTTGGTCCAGTCGTGGGGCCTGAACTCTGGGCCTGGGCGCTGTCCCTCAGCTCTTCAGCTCAAGGCTAGTGCTCTACCACTTGAGCCACAGTGCCACTTCCGGCTTTTTTCTTTTTGCTTATATGGTGCTGAGGAATGGAACCCAGGGCCTCAGGCATGCAAGGCAAGCACTCTACCACTGAGCCACCTTCCCAGCCTGACCACAAATCTTGAGTCTCCAGACCTCAGCCTTCTTAAGAGCTGAGATTACAGGTGTGAGCACCAGTACCTAGCTGGGCTTGTTTTGAAAATATGACTGTTTTTAATTCTTTCTAGATAAAGATGTGGAATAAGGTAACAAAGTATATTTGATAGTTTACTCTGCTTATATCCAGAACACCAGCCTTATCAATCAGAAGAAGAAGATGGATGCAGACCTAACCCAGCTCCAGACTGAAGTGGAGGAGGCAGTGCAGGAGTGCAGGAATGCTGAGGAGAAGGCCAAGAAGGCCATCACAGACGTGAGTCCCCTCCTGCACTTGCCCTCTCTGGAGCTGGGCAGCCAGGGCCTGAGGACTTGACCAACCCACAAGCCCCCTCTCTCCTCTGCACAGGCGGCCATGATGGCAGAGGAGCTGAAGAAGGAGCAGGACACAAGCGCCCACCTGGAGCGCATGAAGAAGAACATGGAGCAGACCATTAAAGACCTGCAGCACCGGCTGGATGAGGCAGAGCAGATCGCCCTGAAGGGCGGCAAGAAGCAGCTACAGAAGCTGGAGGCCCGAGTGAGGGAGCTGGAGAATGAGCTGGAGTCGGAGCAGAAGCGCAATGCAGAGTCTATCAAGGGCATGAGGAAGAGTGAGCGGCGCATCAAGGAACTCACCTACCAGGTGCGGGCAGGTGGACCAGAAGGCCACCCAGGAATGCCAGGCAGAACTCTTATCGTCTCTTCCTCACAGTGTTCTCTGGAGATTTTCTTTCACATTATCTGGAGTCAGTTCATGAGTTTATTATCTTTGTAGCAAATGAAGAATCTACTTCTACGTCCCAAAAGCTTTTGTATTTTTTATTTTTTTTTGTGCTAGCCTGAGGCTGGAACGAAGGACCTGGCACTGTCCCTGAGCATTTTAGCTCAAGGCTAGCCTCTGCCACTTGAGCCACAGCCACAACTCTACTTTCAACTTTTTTTGGGGGGTGGGGGTGGGAGGGGCGATGGTAGTTAATTAAAGATAGTAGTCTCAAGGACATTCTTTCCCCGGGCTGGCTTTGAACCCCAATCCTAAAATCTCAGCCTCCTGAGTAGCCAGGATTATAGGCGTGAGCCACGGTACCTGGCCCCTCCCCCTCCATTTTTTTTTAATGGTTAACTGGAGATAAGTGTCTCATAGACTTTCCTATCCCAAAACTTTTTTGTGTGTGTGAAAATACTGTACAGAGGGGTTACAATTACATGGGCAAGATAATGAGTACATTTCTTATCAAGCATTGTAGCCTCTTCCTTTGTTTCCCCTTCCCATCCCTTTCAAAACTTCTTTTAGATAGCATTCTTTAGATTCTTCTTTTTTTCTTTTCTTTTCTTTTCTTTTTTTCTTAACTAACTCATAGTACTATCATAAAGGTTTCAGAAGTCTAAAGAATCTTTCTTCTCCAGCCAGACAAGGAGGGCAATTCAGGAACACAAGTCAGGTCAGGTTTTTCATAGAGCTAGACAACTCAGAGACAGCCATACAGAAAAGCATGTCAGAATGTTCTAAGGCCTCCATATCATACAGCTCAGTCATTTTGCCCTTGACCTCTGACTTCTCCTGTGCCTGAGGAGATATGGGGCATTAGTTCATTTGACAAGTGGATACTAGAGGCACTAGAAAGAGATCATAGATCCAGAACTGTAGGTCTGTTGTGGGCACAAGTGAAAATGGCATCCTATGATGTGAAGATAGGAATCATCAAGAGACATTGAAGTCAGAGATGCTGGTACCTGAATTCTGGCCCAGGACAGTGTATTGGAATCTTAGGCTATGATAGAATAATTAGAATAATTTCTTCCTGCCTTCTTGCTTATTCCTCTTCTGATAACCTTTTTCTTTTTTTTCTTTTTTTTTTTTTTTGGTGGGTCGTGGGGCTTGAACTCTGGGCTTGGGTTTTGTCCCTGCGCTCTTCAGCCCAAGGCTAGTGCTCTACCGCTTGAGCCACAGCACCATTTCCGGTGTTCTAGTGGTTTATTGGCGATAAGAGTCTCGCGGACTTTCCTGCCCAGGCTGGCTTTGAACCCCAATCCTCAGATCTCAGCCTTCTGAGTAGCTAGGATTACAGGCATGAGCCACCGGCGCCCAGCTTTGTCTTCTGATAACCTTTGAGACACTGGCCAAGAGAGCTCCTGGTGCTGCATGTGGAACTCTGTTCACAAGCCTAAGGCTAGACTAGACCAGTGTCTCTGACCACATTGTGGAGTTCCATTTGGTTCTGAAGCTCCCCTTCCCACTTCCAGTCTTAGCACAATGCCCCTTATTGCTTTCTGGGTCCCTAGCTGAAAAGCATACTTTGCCCCTTTGACTTTTTTTTTTGTTTTACTGACCTACAAATACAAGATGGAATCTTCCCTACTCTTCTTTTATCTAGGCTGTTGGAGGGAGGGGCAGCTGGGGCCTGGGGAGGAGAGTGAGACGTGAAGGGAAAGGTGATTGTACTTGTCCTTCTCCTAAAACTGGCTCCTCCCACCCACCAACCCCCAGACTGAGGAAGATAAGAAGAACCTGCTGCGGCTCCAGGATCTGGTAGACAAGCTGCAGCTGAAGGTCAAAGCCTACAAGCGCCAGGCTGAGGAGGCGGTGAGTCCATGGTTTTCTCCCTGTCTTTGTGTGTGTGAGTGTGAGTACTGTAAACCAGTACTAGAGATTGAACCCAGGGCATAGGCAGTATTCCTTAGCTTCTTTTTTTTTTTTAATGTTCAAGGCTGGTACTCTACTTCTTGAGCCACAGCATTTTGCTGGTTAATTGGAGATAAGAGCTCATGGATTTTTCCTACCTGGGCTAACTTCAAGCCTCCATCCTCCTATTTCATCCCTGAGTATGTAGGTTTGGCCAGCCTTTTCCTCATCTTTCCTCAAGATATCTAAGATGCTAATGCAGGGCAGAGGCAGATGGTACTGAAGACAGAAAGATGATTGTGGCGTTAGAATTGGGTTTGGAAGGGGACCTAACTAGGCATAGGGCAGAAGGGAAGACATCAGGCTGAGCAGAAAAGTGTAAGCATGAGGCATGGGGGAGTAGCTCTGCAGGACACCCCACCCCCAGGTAAATAAACATCTGTCTGAGTCCATGGGAATAGGTATGGTGTAGCCAGATCTGATAGGAGCCATGTCTGGCAGCAAGTGATCTCCTCCTGGGCATGAAGGATTCTAAGTACTGGACACATTTGGGGAGGGTGCCAAGTTAGTGCAGGAGACCCCTGGGAAGGCTACTGCAGGAACATGAGTGATGAGTAGCCTGGAGACACAGATAGACCCCTGAAAGGCTGGGAGCCCCTCCCCCACAGCCCATCATCCTTGATCTCCTAACAGGAGGAGCAGGCCAACACCAACCTGTCCAAGTTCCGGAAGGTACAGCACGAGCTGGATGAGGCTGAGGAGCGGGCAGACATCGCTGAGTCCCAGGTCAACAAGCTGCGAGCCAAGAGTCGTGACATTGGTGCCAAGGTTTGTCCCTTAGACATATCCCTGACATGCATGGCCCTCAGAAGCGCACACTGCCCATGCTACATTTGGGCAGCCCTGACAGCCCTACAATACTCATAACCTGAGACTCCATCCGTGCATGCTCCTGCTCAGAACAGGCCTCCACAGAGACTGGAGCCTCTGCAGAAAGCCTCAGGCCTGCCTTCTAAATGACGAGATCCCTGAGGCCTAACCTCTCACTTTCTAGGGGGTTCTCCCTTAGGAGACCGAAAGTCAGGGCTTCTTCTCATGCCATCTTCCCAGCTGCCCCTTACACCTCTTCTTCCTTCCTCAGCAAAAAATGCATGATGAAGAGTGATACCACCCTAGAACTGATGTCGCCAACCTACAATAAACAAGACACCTGACTCTGACTGTGTTCTCTGTCTTTTCCACCAGCCAGCCATCCTAGAGCAGGAGGGTTGGTGGCCAGCCCCTGTATCAGAGCTATCGGAGCCAAAGCCCTCACATCTACAGCGATGTGTGGATCCTGCTTGAGGTAGCATGGCCCTGCTCAGTTACCCAGTCGAGGAAAAACAAAAGAGAAAGAGAAATTTCAAAAAATGGGAAAACAATAATGAGTGCCAGTGGTTCACACCTATAATCCAGGTGCTCAGGTGACTGAGATTGGAGGATCATAGTTTGGCGCTCTCCTGGGCAGAAAAGTCTATGAGACTCCAATTACCCACCAAGAGAGAAAAAGGTATGGCTCACGTGGTACAGTGCCAGCCTTGAAAGAGAAAGAGAGGGAGGGAGGAAGAGAAGGAGAGAGAGAGAGAGAGAGAGATTGAAGGTATGGCTCAAGTGATAGATCACCAGCCTTAAGAGAAAAAGCCAAGCAAGAATAAGAGGGTCTGAAGTCAAGTTCCAATGCCAATGTATGCGCGCACAGACACACACACACACACACACACATACACAAACAGGTAAAACAAAGAGGTTACAAGGGAGAACAAGTTACAAATTTCAGGAGTGTAAGGCCCACAAAAATCATTTGGTACAAGACAGGATGGACACATATGCTTCTCATAGACTTCCAGCATCCATCTGCCCATATATTATACTATTAAAATAATTATATTATAATATTAAAATACAAAGAGAAGGATGTGGGGGTGCAGGGAAAGGATGCTGGGTAAGTCTTTTTCTACTCAGTCCCAGAACCACTCCCCCCACACCCCCAACCTCTCTAGGTCACTTTACCATGAAGACATCCCAAGCCACTGAGGTCTGCTGAGACTGAGTCCAAACTGGTATGCAGTGTGTACCAAACCTGGGCAATGCACATCTCATTTTCATTCCCACACAGACATTGCATTTCCGCTCTCTCTAAACCCCTACTGAGGCTGCTCAGAGAATGGATCTGGTCCTGACCTTCTGCTCAGAGCAAATCCCTGCCTTCCTCTGGGCTTTTTGACAGTATAGAGGCACTAGACACACTAGACTGTCATGGACCGGAGAGTATCTGCTTCAAACTCCCTCCAAGCTGAACTCTCCCATAGTTTCATCACGGAGCCCTTTGCCAACCTTGGAGGCTTCGATGACAGGTCTGCTTGTCACTTCTGAATCTCTGGTATCCCATACAAGGTCTGCACACTAGATATTCAGGAAATGTATGCTGAGGAATAGGCAAGTTGGGAAGGTGGGTCTGCTGGTGAAGGGATATGAAGATAATTCTAGGACACTGCATTTTTGTTTTTTTGTTTTTTAAGCTTTAGCTGGCCTCAGCATAGTATCCAGAGCACCAATTGAGGTGTCAGGAGAGCTAGGTTCCAGCCCTAGCTCTGCTACAACTAAGATCACTTCTCCTAACTAAGCCCCAGATTTCTCTTATGAAGAATCAGGGCATGGGACCAGATAATGTCTAAGAGCTCTTCCGGTGCCAGCATTTTGGACATTTTTTCTTCTAATGAATTAGGCTGCCCTCATCCCTACCACTCACCACTCTCCTCTTCCCACACCACAAGGGGGCGCTCTGCACACACCCCAGGCAGGCACCTCAGTCCCAGCTTACCAACAGGTGTGTACCCAGATGGTGTCTGAGCCCTTCCTCCCATCAGGTAAGTTGTGTGCCCTCTCAATCACGCAACTCCAGGTGCCCAACCTCCAAGCACACCAGAGTGGCGTTGCACACAGCATTATGGGGATCCCTCCCTCCTCTGATGTCCGAGTTTTAGAAGTTTGATCTTGGGCTAGGTTTTACCTCCTCACTGCGCAAACCTGGTCCCAGACAAAGAGCCAGGACTTGCTCCAGACATGTCCGTGAATACATCTTGGCATTCCTAACCTGCCTAAAATCTGAAGAAGAAGTCAACGACTCAGCAGTAGATTATGAATCTTTTAATTTGGAAATGACTTGAGAGCACAGTAACATCCCTTCCCCTCCCCCCTCCCTCTCTGGCCCCATCAGATATGTCCCCAGTGACTTCTTAGGCACATGTCTCTGTTGATCTGGGGTGAACAGTGGGCTGGGGAGCAAGTGAATCCAAAGGAGCGGTGTTTGAGCTCCATGGTCCCTGTGTCTGGCTGAGTCTCGGAGCCAGGTAAGCCTAGAGTCACTGCTGGTCCCCTGTGAAGATGGAGCCCAGGCAGGGAAGCCATGTCTGGCTATGTTACCTGGGACAGAGTTGGGGGCATCTTCTTTCTCAGGGCACAGACACTCACCCTGGGTAGCCTGGGGTGCCATCTCGGTCCGGTAGATCTTGAAAGCATCGTAGGCAAAGACAGAAACGAGGATGACACCAAAAACCTGTGGGAGGAGAAACAGTGCACAGCAGAGGCTATTGGACTACTGAATTAAGGGAGAGGAAGGTGGGTAATAAGAAGAGGTGTATGGTCTAGACCTCAATCACTGGCTTTAGCATTGGGCACAGGATGTGTGTTAACACTAGCCAGAGGTTTCAAGGGGTTAAAGAGCCCTGCAGGGCTGGACTCACAAAAGCAGCAATGGCAGCTCCCTCCCGGGAGGTCACAGCAGCAAAGGATACCACCAGGAAGATAATGATGGCACTGACACAGCGAAGAAAATCCTGGAGAGTAAGGAGTGACATCAGAAAGTAGAGGGGGTACCGTTAGAGATTTTCCAGACTAATCAGCTCCCTAAGCCTCAGGATTCTGAATTTCTAAATATAATTTTGTTATTATTAAGGTATTGCACAGTGGGCTTACTGTTTCATAAATCCGTCAAACTGAGCACATTTCTTTTTGGACAATGTCATCCCTTCCTTTGTTCTCTCTGTTTCTCTCTCCTGTCCCTACCCACAAGTTGCATAGTTCATTTTCCACATAGAATCTACAGAGAAGATTCTGAATTTTCACATAAGATTGTCCTGGGATTCAATGAAGCACATTGGAGAGAGTGGGCCCACAATGCTAACCAGGGAATGGAAGCAGGCGAATGCTTGCTTATTTGGGGGGTTAGGTTTTGTGTGTGTGTGTGTGTGTGTGTGTGTGTGTGTGTGTGTGTGCTCTTGCTTGGCTTTTTTGCTCAAGACTGGTACTCTATCACTTGAGCCACTTCTATTTCTGACTATTAGCTGATTGTGCAGACTTTTCTGCTAGGACTGGCTTCAAAGTACAATCCTTTGATCTTAGCATCCTAAGTAGCTAGGATTACAGGTGTGAGCCATCAGCACCCAGATCAAAAGCACTGTTTAGAGCACAGGGTACAGCATGGAGCAAAGCTCAGATGGGCACAGCCACCAGAGGGGGAAGGGAAGGACCAGGACAGGGCAGTGGCAGGATTCCTTACCAAACACGGCCAGTTAAGCCGATCGAAGCGTTGATAGTACTGGGTGGCGTATAGGAAGAGGAAGGCGAGCGTGATGAAGAACTCCAACAGTGCCGCAGCCATGTAGGCAGAGATGGAGGCCGTGAAGCAGATGAAGATGATGAAGGTCAGAGCCTGAAGGACCAACCATGGGGGAATTGCCAAGGAGGGGACCATGCACAGGATTTCCCTACTCTGGATTGACCCACGTGGCACCTACTACCGGTCTTTGGTGAGGAGGAAGGAGAGTTCAGGCATGTCTCCCATTTCCAGTGTCAATGGCCACCATTCCAAACCTTTTGTCAATCAGGGGCCATCTCCAACCTCCTGCTTCTATCAGCCCAGAGATCATAGTAGCACCAATATTTTGACCACAGCCACCAGGAAATGGTGTCCCCAGATGCACCAAATACAAGGTACACACTGACCCCTGAAGTTGAGCCTACAGCTCCTATGCCTCAGGAGGCATCACTGATCCCATTAATGCTTTCTTCACTCCAGAGTGCCTAAAACTCCACTTACAGGAACCATAGCTTTTGATTCCACCTTAAGAAAGGCTTAGGGCTGGGAAGGTGGCTCAGTGGTAGAGCACTTGCCTTGCATGCCTGAGGCCCTGGGTTCGATTCTCAGCACCGCATAAGCAAAAAGAAAAAAGCCAGAAGTGGTGCTGTGGCTCAAGTGGTAGAATGCTAGCCTTGAGCTGAAGAGCTGAGGGACAGTGCCCAGGCCCAGAGTTCAGGCCCACGACTGGACTCAAAAAAAAAGAAAGAAAGGAAAGAAAGAAAGAGAGAGAGAGAAAGAAAAGAAAGAAGGCTTAGAAAAAGCCACTTCCTGGCCATATGGGATAGCAGATATGCAGAGGCCTTAGGCTGGCACTGTGCTCTTACTAAGTAACCAGGAGCTAGTTCGTTTCCTGAGTAGATATCCATGGGCAGCAGTCACCATTAGTGTAGCTACAGGAAGTCTGCCGTTTTGATAGTTTATGTTAAAGGCTGGGGAAAGTCAGGCCACATTCCCCCATCCATTCCTTCCCTGTGTCTTATATCCCCTCAGTATCTCAGAAAGTTGTTCTTCCATCTAACTTCACTCTGTCCTGCTGCAACTTAAACTTGCTGTACGTGCCTCTGGATGGAGAGGCAGCAAGAAGGCCCAGTAGAGCTGGGTACTGGTGACTCACACCTGTAATCCTACCTATTCAAGAGGCTGAGATCTGAGGATCGTGGTTCAAAGAGCCTGGGCAGAAAAGTCCACAAAACTCTCCAATTAATTACCAAAAAATCTGGAAGTGGAGTTGTGGCTCAAGTGGTAGAGAATCAGCCTTGGGCAAAATTGCTTAGAGACAGCACCCAAGCCCTGAGTTCAAGCCCCAGTACTAATACCAAGAAGAAGAAGGAGATTGAGAAGGAGGAGGAGAAGTAGGAGATAAAAAAGATGCAGCAGGGATCAGGAGAAGGATTCAGAAAGCCCAGGAAGGGGATTGTTACTGGTGAGCCTGAGCAGGGATCAGCACAGGGCTGCACCACGGAGCCAGGGATGGGAGAAATGGAGGCACAACATGAGGTTGGGGAAGTAGCTGTTACCAGCTCAGTCTCCAGCAGTATGCCTTTGAGGGAAGACAGGAAAGTCTTGTCCACAGCGAAGCCCTGGAGCTCTGCAGCTGCCCCCTCCTCAGGAGGCCGGTCCCAGCGATTCCAAGCGCTGAACATCTCCGTCAGGCTCACGGGGCACAGTCCTGGGAAACCAAAAGCTGGCAGGAGAGGGAAAATAGATAGACAGGAGCAAGAGGACACTTAAAGAAATCTTAAAGTCAAGCAGGGCCCTGCCTGTGGGGCTCCAAGAGAAGGTGACAGTCAGGGGAGGCCTACCCAGATGTGTTTCACCCAGCTGCCCAGAGTGCCTCTTCTGTGGCCTGCACCAGCCCCCAGGACATGGGAGGGGTGGGGGAGGCGTGGTTAAGCCCTCTCTTACTCCAGCCCAACCCAGCCTGGAAAAGGGAGAAGGAAGGAGGTCAGAAGGATGCCAGAAGAGCTAGGAAGTAAGCAGAAAGACAAGCACAGAGCTAGGAACCCCTGTGACCTAAGTCTGAAGAAGTTTGTGCCCCCTCCCATAACCTTAATCTGGCTGATCCTTTCTTTTTTTTTTTTCTTTTTAGGATGGGTGGGAGCTGAGCACAGGCAGCACCCCCAGAACCAAGCTGCAGCAGCCAGGACCAGAGGACAAAGGCAGATTGTTGAGGAGACAAGGGGGCGCTGTGTGCCCACTGCAAGTACCTCAATGGGCCTCTGTCTTTCTCCAGCGTGTAGCTTGGCCTGCCCCCACCCTGGTGTTCAGTGATGGCCAAAGAGCTAGAGAGGAGAGAGAGCGGGAGAGCACCTGGGAAACTGGAGGACAAGAAGAGCAGGCAGGATAAGCAGTAGGTGAGGGCTGGTGTTAAGGAGAACTACAGGGTGTTCAGGTGCCAGGGATGCCAAAGACAGAGGACACCATTTTTAAATCTAGATATTTATTTGGTAAAATTCTCCATTTCAATAACAGTTTCCTCCTCAAAATGATCCATGTAAAAGGATAAGTCATTACAGCCGGGTACGTGCAAAGCATATGCTTTCATAGTATTTGATGAATGAATGAATGAATGGAGGGCCAAAGGGGGAAAAAATAATCAACAAAGTGCCTGTGCTGGGTCAGGGCAGCTGGAGATAGGAGAAGAGGGAAAGCCCAAAGTGTGGCTTCCAGAGGGGTGGGTAATGCTTTGTAACTCTTCCCTGAGAAGAAATGTCAGGACACCAGCTTCTAGCAGCCTTAAGTTGAAGCTGCTACCTTCCAAAAGTGCTTCCATAAAAGTGCAAAAGTGTAGGCTTCTCCCCAACCCCCCCCCCCCCCCGCATCCTGTCCCAGGATCCTGCCGTTCCAGGTAATTCTCTGGAAGAACCAAGACTTTGGATACCTTGGCCCACTGTGGCAAAGGGATTGGACACCTGGCTCCAGTTTTCCCATCTAGGCATAAGCCTCTGGTGGCTGGCAGAGGACTAGGCCATCACCCGGGGCCGCACGCACACACAAGCAAAGGAGACTTGGTAAAGCCTGCGCTCCAGGCAGTAGCGGTGCCGGGCTTGCTGCTCCCCGTGGCATGGCCGCCGGTAGAAGACAGTCTGGTTGTGGTAGAGAGGCTCTGAGTTGCCCAGTGGGTCCATGTGGGAGCCAGTCTGTAGGCTGACACAGTGTGGACACAGGCAGCGAGCATGATACAGGTCCTGAGGGAGTCGGTTCAAGTCTCTGTCCAACCTGCAAAGATGGTACTGGTCAGGATCTGGTGAGTCAGGCCAGAAGCAGGGAGGGCTGGGTGGCGTGGGGAGACTAGAGGAAGGAACTGGTGCTGCTGACAATTTGGCTATTGGTTTGTTTGTTTAGACAGGGTCTCATCTTGTAGCACAGTCTGGCCTCAAAACTATAATTCTACTATTTCAGCCTCCAGTATAGGGCAGACATACACCATTATACCTGCATGGTACCTGGCTTCTTCTAGAATTTTCCTCTTCTTCCTCTTCCTCTCCTTCTCCTTCCTTCCTCTTCTCCTTCTTTCCTTTCTTCTCCTTCTCCTTCTTTTTCTCCTTCTCCTTCTCCTCCTTCTTCTCCCTTCCTTCCCTCCTCCTCCTCCTCCTCCTCCTCCTCCTCCTCCTCCTCCTCCTCCTCTTCCTCTTCCTCCTCCTCTTCCTCCTTCATGCATGTGTGTGTGCGCGCACACAGGCACCCGCACATGCAGGCATGCCAGTACTGGGGCTTGAACTCAGGGCCTGTTGTTCTTATTTGGCTTTTTTCATTCAAGACTGGTACTCTACTACTTGATTCATAGCTCCATTTCTGGGTGGTTTTTTCCTGCCCCAAGCTGGGCTTTGAACTGAAATCCCCAGATCTCAGGCTCCTGAGAAGTGAAGATTACAGGTGTGAGCCACCAGTGCCCAGCAGATCTGCTACCTATTGTATAACTTCAATCAAGGCACCCCCTTCTTTATTTTCCTCAATTGTAAGTGTGCAGAAGGGGTGAAAGTGCTGCTTTCCAACTGGTCCAGAGTCCATAAGAAAATGGGAGAGGGTGAGTAGCCTCCTGCTTCAGCCTCCAGCAGACAAGCTCTGCTTCCTTCTGATAAACACAAGAGGCTCCAGCATAAGGCTCCTTATGCAATATTATCCTTATTACTATATTTTATAATTTTCAAGCTCTGATACTGGGACTTAAACTCAAGGCCACACACTCTTCTTTGGCTTCTCCTCCACTTTCAGCTTTTTGCTGATAAATTGGAGATGAGGTTCTTGAATTTGTCTGCCCAGGCTGGCTTTGAACTGAAATCCCCAGATCTCAGCTAGGAATGCAAGCATGAGCCACTGGCACCCAGCTTCATTTAGAATTTTTTTTCATTACTATTATTGCAAAACTATACATTGTTCTGACAGCCAAATATATAGAAGGATATATGATGAAGACTAGCACTCTCCAATTCTACTCCCCAGGGGGAGCTGTGTCCAAGCACACATTATTATCACACTTAGGGATTCATGGGAAGACATAGACCTCTGAAAGGATTTCATGGTGGAGAAAGAGGCTTAAAAGCCATGGAAAAGTAGATACCACGAACTCTAAGCAGAAAACCCCCAGCTTGTAAGACTACTCCATACAGACAAACCTTGGCAAACGGGTTCAGCTAATGAAAGAAATACCTTGCAAGTAAAGGTTTTGATGTCAAATGAGACTCCAATGGGGCAGAAGCTGCCTTTTTCTAAACTTGTTTGATATTGTTGTTTTTTTCTGAGATGAATATTTGCACCTCATTTCATAGATGAGTATTACACAGAACACCCTCTGGGGAACCCTGAGACAGATCAAGGGTTCACAGCCTCCCCACAAGGAATCTAGGGCCCAGCTGAATCAGTTTCATCTGGCACCCAGCTTTCCCAAAGAGGTTCTCACACAGTCAGATTTGCCTCAGGACCAAAGCATTTTCCACCTAAAACCTAATCTCAGTCAAAGGGGTCCCCTCCCTAAAACACTAAACTCCATCCATCCCCAAAGCCAAAGCTAAATAGAACTAGACTCATGGGAAATAGGAACAGACTCCCAATGAGGACATAATACAGAAGAAAATATGTTTGTGATCCCTAATATCATTATTTTTCTTTTTTGGGGGGGTCCGGTCGTGGGGCCTGAACTCTGGGTCTGGGAGCTGTCCCTCAGCTCTTCAGCTCAAGGCTAGCTCTCTACCACTTGAGCCACAGAGCCACTTCCGGCTTTTTTCTTTTTGCTTATGTGGTGCTGAGGAATAGAACCCAGGGCCTCGAGCATGCAAGGCAAGCGCTCTACCACTGAGCCACCTTCCCAACCCCATCTCATTATTTTTCATAGTTAGCTTTTTGTCTGTATTTCAGAGATTCCTTGTGTTTTTCACATCACGGGATGAAGATAGAATTATAGTATTTATGTGGTATACTGTGCAGGAGAATAAGATAACCGTGATTATGATCAAAGATAACAGCCCAAGGATCCTACCACCCACCTGCCCTGAAAAGTTTGGTGGCTAATTTTTGTAGCATGCTTCTCATCTCTTCCTAGCTCTGGACAGTAGCATTTGGTACTAGAATATTTTATGCTTTTATCATTTTAATATCACCTGTTATTTAGTCAAAAAAAAACGTGAACCACCATGGAGAAGGAAGGAAGGAGGAAAGAAGGGGGGGAGAGAAAGTTCTCAACTGAATTTTACAAACTTTACATACATTATTTCAATTGATCTGCACATTAGCCCCATAGGTTTTAATCTCATTTTAGAGAAAAAGAAGAGGAGGAGGAGGAGGAGGAGGAAGCCGCCTCCTTGAAAACTTGCCAGTTATTGGCTCAAAGTTACCCAATGAGAATCAGAGTGGATGCTCCAATCTAGATCTGTGTAACTTTTAGACCTTGCCAGACTTCCTGTTATTAAAAGAGAAAGGGAGGGAGCAGGACAAAGAAAAAGAGGAGAGAAAGGTAGGCTGGAATTAAGGAGAGCTCCTCATGTGTGTCCTGACAGCACATCTGGGTGACATTTTGCAGGCATTCAGTAAAGGGACAGCAGACTCACTCGTATCTCCAGGGGGAGATGGCCCTGCTGTTGAGGGGTCCATCTTCGCTGGCCCTGCAGAATGCTGGGTTGTGGGGGAGGCTGGCTGGTGCCGGGGGAGTCACAGGCACAGTGGTCCACTTCAGCCAGTCCTCAGGGAATTCCTGTCCTTTGCTGGGGCAACATCTGGGCAAGTGACTGCAGTCCCTCTGGACCCGAAAACTGAGGGTTCCCGTGATCATTGCCAAGAATACAACCACCTGTAGGCAGAGACCAGTGAGAGAACTGCTCTCACCAAATCTGGACCCGTTCCATCCAGCCTCCCTTCACCCCCAGTGGCTCCCTGAGATCCTGGAGCTGGGAGACTGGCCCCCCTCCACCCTCGTGGCAGCATCCTCTGCCAACCATCAGCGGGCTCACCTGGTTCATGCTGGCTGCTGCTCACTCAGCCACAGGTGCTGTCTCACTGACACACAGGCCTTCTGGAAGCAGGCTGAGTGTGGAAGGCAAGGAGCCTTGGTTTTATGTTCAGCAAACCTGTTTTGCTTATTCAAATTTATTTCCACTATCTTTTGGAGGGAGTGTCTTGAGATTAAAAAAGAAAAGAAAAACAAAGCAAAAAAAAAAAAAAACCAAAACAAAACCTGAAAGCATTTCCAAAAGCTCCTCTCATGGAAGTTGTGATGAGCATGATTATTAGCTTTGATCTTTGCAGTTTTCCAGGGCGTGGGGATGTAAAAGCAATAGCATTCTACTATTGTGGGTCTTTGTAGACTGGCCTTATAGGGATTTCCCTGTTTGGTTTGCTACCTCCCACCTAGGGTCTAACCTTGACTCTTCCCTTCTTCCCAGATGTCCCTGATGACACACGCTAGTGAATACTTTCCTTCCACTCCATTTCCTTTGACCCTGATTCCCCTTTGTTCTCTCCTCCCAATTCCTACAAACCCATCATCTAGAATGTCACCTTCATTGTCCATTACACACTCTATGACTTGCCCTCATTCTGTTCAGTTGTTACCCCACACTTTCCCTGGCCTCTTTCCTTGGGATTAAGTTATAGGCTTCACCCTGCAGATTAATCAGGAAGGCTCTGATGGAACAGTCTGTTGGTTGGATGGGCAAGGCCTGCTGGAAGAAGTTGTGGGTGATTGTTCCCATTGCATCGATGAGATAGTGGAGCAAGGAGGAGGATTCGCACAGTGACAACTTTACCTAAGACCCAACAGGAGCTCTGACTTGTTGGGGCATAGGGGCAAGATAAATAGATTGATAGCAAGATGGATAGCTGCCCCTCTCAGGCCATGGGTGGGAGTGGGAGTGAAGGGATACATTCAACTTCAGTATCTCTTGGTAACATGGGGCTCTACTAGCCAGGAGGGAATATTCATGTTCCAGAAAGACAGAGATTGACTAGGGTCCCCCCTTACTGGAGAGGAGTTGTACACATTTACTTTCCTCCAGGCCTGGTTCTTCCAGCCCATGGAGCACCCCACCCCAACACACTCATACACAGACATTGTCTCTAGAATAATTCATACTGATTTGCATGTGCTTTCCCTCAGAAAATACTCCTGTAGTAACCAAGGACTCGGGAAATAAACAAAGGGAACTAGGAATAACTTAAAACACCTAGAATGAGGGGGAATCTTTCTAATGTTACAGTGAAGGCAAAGCAGCCCCAAAAGAGAGAGAGGGTAGTAGAGAGTATTCTACAAAACTGGGAGAAGCTGCTCTGGTGAGTTCTGAGAGGGAAGGGAGGGCTGGAGGTGACATAGTAGAAACCAGTGGTGACTTGAAATGCACAAATACTTAGAAAGAACTATGAAGACAGGAATATCATCACCCACTCTCAACCCACCCTTGCCCCTATGCTCCCAGACATGTGTTTTCCCCTTCATACAATGCTGTTTTTGCTCCATATATGCCCATGTGCCAGGCATGATGCTAAGCCCTGCACATGTATCACTTTTTTTATCCTGACCGGAAGACCGTGGACATGGAAACTATTATCCTCCAATTACAGATGAGGAAACTGAGTATGACCTAATGTGATTTAGGAACCTACTTGAGGTCACATAATTAGAAAGGGTTTGAGCCACTTTTCCATTCCAGCCCTGAACAAATCTAAGTTTCTGGCAGGAAGCTATGGCAATCTTTAGTGGGCTGTGAGGAAAGTGGAGCCCCTACTCCTTGGGAATGCTTTCCTGCTCACCTGGGCTTGGGTTGTATCTACCCAAAGCCACAAGGCATTCCTGCCCTCTTAGGCATTTTGCTTGCTGTCTGGAATTCACAGTTCCTGCTTCCTGTTTCCTAGCGTTTGGTCTGGCACATGGTCTCAGGGTGGCTTCTGCTGTTCCTAAGCAACCCTCAACCCCAGAACAGGCTCTTAGAGCAGTACTGTGTTCAAAGAACTGGATTTCTATGGGTGTCCTTGCTCCTCCTGACAATCAGATCCCCAAGTTTGAGGGAGTAGAACTGGATCTTGCCCTGGACCTCTGTGCAGGAAAAGGTGTTCAAAGGGGCTGGAAGTGACTCCAGTTTTTTATTTCAACTATTGACTCTGCAGAAGGGTCTTGGACTGGGTGACTGGGACCTTGCCCTTCAGGAAAGCCTATTGGGGGTAGCTCTTTGCTTCAGTACCTTAGGGCAGAGGAAACACCTCTAACCACACAGTCTTTCCCATCTCATAATGACCAAGCCTCACCGGAGTACCTGAGCCACGTGCCCCCACCCCACCCCCGTTTGCTCAGCCTCCATCCTTATCTCCTCCGTAGCAGCTTTGTGTGATTCTTTAGGGTGACTCCCTGCCATGAGAAACATTTTCCAGAGGGTTTCCTCCTGGGGTGACTAGTTTTGGAATCCCTGAGTCACCTCAGCTTCCAGGGAATCCTCGGGGGTGTGGGGATATGGGGGTGGCAATGGGGAGAATACGGGGGCGGGAGCCAAGGAAGGTTCACCCAGCAGGAAGGGTATCCTCCCAACATGGTCCACACCCATTTGGGTCTAATGTGATGGAAAAGAGGGCTAGAATTCTATTGCTGGGACCCTGAGAAAAGAGGTTGGGGTATACAAGGAAGGAGCAGAGCAAACCTGATGGAATATACCTCCAACCCTTGGCTTGGAAATGCTCTTGGGGCTTGCAGAGAACTAGAATAAGCTTGTCCAGCACCTTTCCAGAAAGATATTCAAGTCCTCACCTTTTGCCTTGAAGTTTTGGTTCAGCTTTTGAGCACTCTTCCCCTTGTGTCCTCTCTCTGTTCTTCCCAGTTCATTGGTAGGCATGTGTGTTGATGCAGGAGCCGGGAGGAGGGAGACATACACCTGCAGGACCACAAAAGCACCAAGCAGCTTAGTTATTCTGGACCTCAACTCCCGAAATAGTGTAGTATCCACAGGACTCAGCAAGCCAGTTAAAGTTCATCTGTATTCACCTCCCCAAGGCAAGACCACTGGGTATTAAAATGGTGGAATATTACTGCACCTGCAAGTAAGTAGCAATCATGAACAACCTGTGTCACACCCGCCTAGGGTCCAGCAACTAAAGGGTAAATGTCTGGCACAGATGGAGCTCTCCACAACACGCCTCTCATGTTCTCATTTGTAGCTGATATTGGTACTGGTTGCTAATTACTGTTATTTGGGGGGGGGGCTTGAATTCAGGGGCTAGGTGCTGTCCCTTAGCTTTTTTGCTCAAGACTGGTACTCTACTATTTAAGGCACTTCTGGCTTTTTAGTGGCTAGCTGGAGATAAGAGTCTCCCAGACATTTCCTGCCTAGGCTGGCTTTGAACCATGATCCTCAGATCTCAATCTCCTGAGTACCTAGGATTGCAGGTGTTAGCTACCAATGTCCAGTTAGGTTGCTAATTACTTTTAATATAATCCACTGCAAAATGCTTAGGCTCAGGAATCTGCTTTCAAAGAGGACCCAGTTTGGCCTGAGCGACAGATGGAGAACTGGAGTTAGCAAGATAACGAGTGCAATAACCATAAAGGGGCCCATCAGCTGCACTGGACATAGAAGAAAAAGAACTAAGCAAGACAAAGACAGCGATGGGAAGGGAGGAATGAGAGGGAAAGAGGGAACAGCCTACACTAAGCAAAAGGAAAGAAATGTAAACATCACCTGATGTGGAAGAAATAATTTGTATTGTCAAAGCTCATAGAACTCACAAACTGTATAGACCATGATAATGATAATTTGCCTTGAGAAGGTTAAAATGTGTTTATGACTTTAACTAAGTATCACTGATCCACAATACTGTGCAATATGTGAAATTTATGTAATCATCTAATCTCAATTTAAAAAAAAGAGAAGGGATGGGTTAGGAGCGCTGGGTGACAATGTTGTCAGACACCTTGTGCTCTACACACCTTGTAGAACGGGAACTTCTTTATACAAGGACTTAAAGATATAATAATAAAAATGTTTAAAATAAAAGAGTGAAATAACCCCCTACCCCCAGCACAGGGACAGTATCTCCCCAAGGAGAAGTTGGGATTATATAGCTTTGTCCTTTGTCATTCATCCACTCACCCAATATTTACTGAGCATCTACTATACAGAAAGCATTTCTGTTCTAAATTGTAGAAAGACTTCTGAACAAGCCAGATAAGGTAACTGACATAAAATTTACATTTTAGGAGAAGACATACGACAACCAAGGAAACAAGGTAATTTCTGATGATAACAAGTGCTACGAAGAAAATAACACAGTGAAGCCGGGTACCTGTAATCCTAGCTACTCAGGAGGGTGAGATCTGAGGATCATGATTCAAAGCCAGCCCAAGCAGAAAAGTCCATGAGACTCTTATCTCCCATAAACCACCAGAAAACCGGAAGTGGTGCTGTGGCTCAAGAGGTAGAGTGCTTGCCTTGAGCTGAAGAGCTGAGGGACAGCACCCAGGCCCAGAGTTCAAGTCCCATGAATGACAAAAAGAAAAAAAGAAAAGAAAAGAAAGAAAGAAACAGTGTTATGAGATTGGAAGGTACTGTAGAGGTAAGGGGCTTAGAGAGTGGGAGGGCAAATCTAACTTGGAAAGCCAGGAAGGCCTTTGTGAGGATATAGGATTTAATATGGCAATAGAATGGAGAGGGAGAGCAGGACATATGCAGTCCTCAAGGTGGAAAAGGGCTTGGTATATTTGAGAGACACAAAGGACAGTGAAAAACAAGGGTTGAAAAGAAGAGTTGAATCAGATGAGGTGGAAGAGCTGAGCAGGTACCAGATTACACGGGGTCTTACAGACTATAATGGAGATTTGCATTTTATTCTTATAAATGCATTTTATACTTCACAAATGCTTTTATTAGTTTTATTCACTGGGGTATTGACTGGATTCAGACATGATCTACATGATACAAGTTTCTTTTCTTTTTTTGTCGATCTTGAACTCTGTCGGGCTTGAACTCTGGGCCTGGGCGCTGTCCTTGTGCTCTTCAGCTCAAGGCTAGCACTCTACCACTTCAGCCACAGAGCCACTTCCCGTTTTCTGAGGGGTTTATTGGAGATAAGAATCTCACAGACTTTCCTTCCCAGGCTGGCTTTGAATCATAATCCTCAGATCTCAGCCTCCTGAGTAGCATGAACCACCAGCACCTAGGCTGATACAAGTTTCTTGAGGGCAGGCACCATTTCTTTCATATCCTGTATCTCCACAGAGCAGGTACCAATTAACAATAATAGTTGCTTTTAGCCAGGCACCAGTGGCTCACAACTATAATCCTAGCTACTCAGGAGGCTGAGATCTGATGATCATGGTTCAAAGCCTGCCTGGGAGGAAAAATCCATGAAACTCCTATCTCAATTAGCTCCCAAAAGGCTGGAAATGGAGCTGAGTAAGAGTGGTAGAACACTAACTTTGAGCCCAAAAGTTCAAAGATCAGTGCCCAGGCCCTGAGTTTAAGCCCCAGGACCAACACAAAAACAAATGGTTGCTTTTGTCCAACACATCATGGGCTAGACAGTGTTCTTAGAATTTTCTGCATGCTCAAAACAAATTGATCTTCTAAATTCTGTTATTGTTCTTTATCGACAAGGAACCAGAAACTCCAATAGATCTCATAGCAGCCAGTTACTAGCTAATGTTGGAACCAGGTAGTTTGGGTGCTATGGGTCCAAGAGGAGAACTGAGAGAAATCATCAATATCTGAGAAGTTTTTGAGGAACTAGGACAAGCAGAGACTCAGGAAATCTGTGTGGGCTGAGGAAGAGACCAGCTGGTTGGACCCTGCTGGGGAAAAGAAAGACAAAAAAGGTTGGGACTTGGGAAGGCTGATATGTATAGGGAAAACCCTGAGGGCTCATCTAAGATACTGCTGCCCAAGCAAAGTATCAGCTGCCTTTCCAGCCTGGGTTTTCTCTGATCACACCAGGAGCTTAAAACATTGCCTAAACAAATTTGAATCACGTAAACCATAGTTTACAAAGGAGAAGGCAGAGATGAGAGTAGAAGGACTTTGTTGAGGACTTTGCCTTCAACAAAGAAATAGCCAGCTTTCTTGAAAGCAGCGGGGAGAGCTAGGAATAAGGAATACAGTATGGAAATGCTGAGAGCCTGTGGCTCATTCCTGCACAGGAGCTGCACAGGAGACTGAGATGCAGAGGATTGCAGTTCAAAGCCAGCCTCTGTAGAAAAGTCCTCAAGATTTATCTTCAAAATAACCAGAAAAGAGCTGGTCTGGAGGCATGGCTTGAGCACAAGCTGAGCAAGCACAAGACCTCCTTGGCAAAATAATAAGAATAAAGTATGGGCCTGGCACCAGTGGCTCATGCCTGTAATCCTAGCTACTCATGAGGCTGAGATCTGAGGATCAGGGTTCAAAGCCAGCCAAGGCAGGAAAGTCTATGAGGCTCTTATCTCCAATTAACCACCAGAAAATGAAAAATGGCACTGTGGCCCAAGTGGTATAGCACTAGCCTGGAGCTGAAGAGCGTATGGCCAGCACCCAAGCCCAGGGTTCAAACCCCATGACCAACAAAAATTAAAATAAAAAATAAAAAAGTATGGACAAGGGATGGGAAGATGGCTCAGTGGTAGAGTGCCTGCCTTGCATGCATGAGGCCCTGGGTTTAATTCCTTAGCACCACATAAGCAGAAAAAGCCAGAAGTGGCACTGTGGCTCAAGTGGTAGAGCACTAGCCTTGAGCTGAAGAGCTGAGGGACAGCGCCCAGGCCCAGAGTTCACGACCCATGACCGACCAAAAAAAAAAAGTATGGACAAAAAGTATTTCCCTAGCTGCTTTCCATGTATTTACTCTAGTTACTTCCATATTCCCCAGTCAGTTATATAAGGAACTGAGACTTGAAAATGTCCTAGAGCTTGACCAAGATCACATAGTTAATAAACCAGGACTCACTCCATTCGTGAATGGACATTCCTGAAGCACCGTCTACTTTTCCTACTGTCCTATATTCCCCATGAACTGAGCCCTGCTTCCCATCTCCCAAGCTACCATCTTGCCTGGTCCTAATAGCATTCTTTCTGCTTAGCTTCTTCTGGCTCTATTTCCCTGTGCCAGTCCAGAGCATTTATCTTTGGGGCTAGGGGTTCTAATTTGCCTTGGCAGACCCTAGGCTCTCTGTAGACTCCAGGGCCATTCAATCCCTGGAGCCTTAGGGCTGGAGGGGATGCAAACTCTTGTCTTGGCCAACTCCAACTGGACTAGAAATGGGATAAGGGATCTCTCCTTCAGATGTGTCTATACACTTTTAAAGTTCCTTTGTGCCCTAATGGAGGGAGACTATGTTCAAAATTTCAAGCCCCACTACTGAGTCTACACTCCATCAAAGACAGCCATGCCGTAAGACAGCAGCATTTACTCCCATGCCCACTCCAGAAACTCAGAAATCCACACAATAGGTACCACCTCTCCCCTCTGCAGTGGGTTTTTCCCTAGATGTCAAGACAATAGGGTAGAAAAGGGGCTGAGTTAGGTTCTCTGGAATATGGACGGCCAGGAGGGAGATACAGCAGTTCCAAGACCTTAGGTTCACAAAGGGCCTTAAATAAGATTTCCAAGTGGGGCCTGGTAATGTGGCTTAGTGGTAGAGTGGTTGCCTCACATGCAACTGAGGCCCTGGGTTCAATCCTCCATACCTCATAAATAAAATAAAGTATTTCCAAGGTTATCAACAAATGTAATAACTAGAGCCCCCGCTGTCTATTCTACATGCTGGAAGTGTTAATTTGTTAAGTGTAAACACTGAAAATGCACTACCGGTTTTCAACTTTATTTAGCATCTTGCTTTTACAATGCTAGGGAATGCCCTAGTGCTGTAATTCTATAATCTCAGCTATGATTTAAGGATCACAATTTGAAGCCATCCTGGGCAGGAAATGTCAGTGAGACTCGAATTCCCGATTAACCAGCAAATGCCAAAAATGGAGGTGTGACTTGTGGCAAAGCGCCAGCCAGGCTTGACTAAAAAAGCTAGGGGACAAAGCTTAGGGCCCTGAGTTCAGGCCCCAGTACCAACACAGACACACAGACAGACAGACAGACACACACACACACACACACACACACACAGAATTGTTGAAAGGACCTTTGGATAGTTTTGAGAAACAAAAAACAAAAACACAAATCATTAACAACAGGAGTATTAAAACTGGAAGACAGGTTTCTCTTAAGCCTCAGATGAGAGGCTCTGAGATAGGCCCCCAAAAGAAAGAGGGGGGGGAGCAGGAGGCATAAGAGGCTAAAACTCTTAGGGACAAACTCCCAGCCCTCTAAATGAGTTCAGCCTTTCTTTTCTCAGGGTTTCCAGCCCTGTTCCTCTTGGTAGCAAGAGACAACTCTGCTGCTGAAGGTGGACAGGCCCAGACTGGCAAAGGAGGCCAAGAGGCTGTCCAACCGGCCTGCCTGCAGATCTGGAGCCAGACGCTCAGGCTTCTGAGTGTTGTCTTGCCATCGCCAGATTCCAAGCCTGCACCCCAAAGAGTGGTCTGTCCCGGCAAGGCTACCACCCCTACAGAGGCAGCATCCGGGAGCAGGAGAGGCTCCCCCAAGGACCCCAGCAAGGCGGAAGGAGCGCGATCCCTCCCACGGAAAGACAGATGTGAGGCTAATGAAAGGGAGGCAGAGAGAGGCGCGGGACTGGCCGGGGACGGCGGGGGCGTGGCGGGAGACGGAGGCTAGTTGGGGACCCGGCCGACTCGATCACCCGGAGGTCTGAAGCGAAGTCTGGAGGAAGAGGCGCTGGGCGGCTGGGCCCGGGGGTCCGGAGCTGAAACTCAACACCGCCTTTGGAAGTACCGTCCCCCATTCTCCGCCACCACTTCCCTTCCCCTCCCTTTCCCTCCCTCCCTCCTTTCTCTTAATCCCCTGGATTGAGCCCCGAGCGGGAGAGCAGAGGGCCGGAGGGGAGGAGAAAGAACTCTCCCCTCCCGGGAAGTGCAGCCGCGTGCCGCCCGCCCCGGGCGCCCGGACCCTTCCCCACCCTCCCCAGCCCTGTCAGTACCCCCAGCCCCAGGCGGGCCCCCGCGGGATCCCAGCCCCCTGCTCCTTCCTTTTCTCTTTACTAGTTTTGTTTTGTTTTTCTTTCTCTCTTTTTGGCCTTTCCCTTGGGTCAAAAGACATCTTGGAGCGACCCCCGGCTTTGGGGCGCGCGGAGGGGCCCTGCCGAGGGTGCGTGTGAGCGAGGCCCGCGCCGGCTGCGGGGCGCCGAGGGTGGGGGCGGTAACGCGTGGGTTTGCGCTGGGAGAACCGGGGGGGGGGGTGGAAGGGAGCTGGACAGCCCCGTTTCTGCTAGGGTGCCGCCGCTTCGAGTGCCCGGGCCGGGCCACCCTGGCGAGCTGTGCGCCCCCCCCTGCACCCCGTCCCTGGACGTGCAGAGCGCGAGCGTGCGGGTGGGAACCCGCCTCCGCCCTGCCGTGCGGGGTCCGCTCGCAGCCCCACGGCCACGCTCTCGGAAACCTTTGGCGCCAACTCGGGCGAGTTTGAAGGACACACGGCGCTGTTCTCGTCCTCGCTCCCTCCCCGCACGTCCCGCCGCGGCGCCTGGCGAGCTCCGATCCCCAGAAGAGGCTCCCGGGTGGGGAAGGTTGGCCCCTAAACTCGCTCGTCCGGCCCGACCGCCCCGGCGGGGCTTCTCCCAGCCCTCGGGGCTGACCTGGGCGGCCCGGGGGCGTCGAGCGCCCGCTCGAGCTCCGGCCTCCTCGCCCAGGCCGGCCTCGGAAGGGAGCTTACAGCCCACGAGAGCCCACGAGGCCTTTGTGGCCTAGAGCACGCAGCGCTCGGGGCCCGGGCCACTTGGCGGCCCCCGGGGAGGCCGTAGGGACACTACAGAGCGCGCCCCTTGGATGAGGTCCCGAAGCAACGCCCCGGACCGCCCCGTTCCTCCTCCTGCCTGGCCGAGCTGCCTCCCATTTGGGAAGTTTTGTGGGTGTTCTTTCTCCTCCAACCTTGGTGGAGGCCACCGCTTCAAGCGCCACAATCGGGGGCAGCCTCCGTGGGTCGAGGCCGCGAATCATGGTGCGGAGCAGCCACCACTGAAGTCAACAAAACCCAGCCTGACCTGAAGCAGGCAGCAGTGGAGGCCAAGGCCATGGCCATTGCCACGTCGGTGAGTCCACCAGAGAGTGGAGGCTACCAGGCAGACCCCCTGCCTGCCTCCCCTGTGCTCCTGTCCTTTTTTTCTTTTCCACCCTCTTTGTCTCCTTCCTGATCTTATTCTTCTGGAAGAGGCTGTGTCCTCACTCTCACTTTGGTTTCTTTCTCTCAGTCCTCAGCCCCTGCTCCTCCAGATTTGGGTCCCTCTCCTCCTCTCCACTCTTTCTTTCTAGAGGCTGTGGATTGATGGAGGGGAGGGGGAAAGTGTAGCCCCCGTCCTATCTGCTCTTGTCTGGGCGGGAACAGATGGCCACTGATGGCTGCACGGGCTTGTGATTGGGAGATGAATAAAAAGGACTAACAGATCAAGGACTCAAGGAAAATGGACTCGAGGAGGTCCATCTGTAGAGGTAGAATGGCGAAAAGGGGGGGGGGGCAAATAGAGCCAAAAAAGGATGATCAGGCAGAGAAAATAATACAGAGGAGGGAAGGTGATGTCAGCCCGCCTCAGGCCACTTTCTGGGGACTGGGGACAAAGGGAGGAGACAGCTGGCACGATGGAAGAGTGGGAGGAGGCCTCCCAGAAAGCGCAGTGGGCCCGCAGCCACCCCCATAAGCCAGTCGTTCCCTAACCAGGCACCTCGGTCTCTCGGAGGGAACGGAGCTGGAGTGGCCACACCCATCATCAATCTTTCTATCAGCTGCCCTGACTGGGGTTGCTGCCACTGCAAGTCCCAGTGGTTTGGCTCCATTGGGCAGCATTCAAACTCGATTCAGGGAGGAGCACTCCCTGGCCCCACCTCTGCTTTCGGTCTGGCACTCACGTAGTCTGTATTCAGATTACAACTCTGGCTTTTTATACCTCCCTACCCCCTGCCTGGAATTCTCAGGGAAAGCCAGGCTACCACCTGTTTTCCGACCCTTTCTGAATGGGAACTCTGGAAGAGAATAGTGAATGAAAAGAGAAGCCAGCAGCCACCCCACCCAACAGCTTTCTATTACCCCTTGAGGAGAGATCTGATCTTGGCTCTTTTTCAAACCAAACATTTTAGGTCCTTAAGTTCAGACCAGGAAAGGGAGGCAGGGATGCTGTAAGGGTAGAATATCTCTGAGGATACTCTGACATGGAGCTACTGGCTCAAGAAGATGGCAACCTCTATCAACTTTGTAGTACTGGGAGGTAGATTTTTCTTTTCTTTTTTTGAAGGATAGTTATGATAATCAAACTCATAGAATCCTAATAATGCTAATATATTGAACTCTGATTTTACCTAGCTTATACTAAACTTTGTCATGATTTCTAGATGCATCATCTCAACTTTGTGAGAACACCATTCTTGTCCAAAAATGGATATTTGGTTACAGATATACCATTCTACAGAAGGGGACACTGAGGCACAGAAAAGCCAAAAACCTGCCCAAAGGCACCCAGTGAGAAAGGGACAAAGATGAGACTAGAACTTTGCTTCTGGTTTATATACAATTATATGCACTGGCTTATATACAATTAGAAGGGAAAGCATGGATCCATCTAGGACCGAGAAAACATGATTAGCATGTTTTCTCTGTGTAGGACAGTATTCCTTAGAAATCACAGTATAACTGGAATAGTTTGAAGAGGGCTGGGGATGTTGGTTCATCATGTACAAAGCCCTAGCTTCAATCCCTAGCATTACAAGAAAAGAGAGAGAGAAAGGAAGAAAGCTAATTTGGAATCAAAGAAGGGCAAGAGTTGTTTAAAAAAAAAAAAATCGCCCAACCAACTCAGAATGTTGAGAGTAAAAAAACTGAGGTCTGAGGCCAAGCTAGGCAGAAAAGTTCAGAAGCACTATCTCTAAAACCGGGGGTGGATGGGGGGGGGGAAATGGCTGGAGAAGCATGGTTTTGTGGTAGACTGCCAGTCTAGCAATCTCTAGTATTCCCCCCATACAAACAAAAATCACTCATCCACCAGTAGAAAACATTGCCAACATTCTTGCTGATGGAGCATTGCACCCTTTTCCCCACCATCTTGTGGCACCCTGTTGAGGTGGTTAGCTTGAGATTTTTTTTTTTTAATTAGTCCATTTGGTTACCTGGCCAGTAGTACCTGAGAAGCTGTTCCAAAGCAGTGTATGCTACCATTGCTTAGAATCCTACCAGGAGGCACAGTCCCTTTACAGTCACAACTGGCTTTGCCATACTGAGTGGCTTAAGCTTGATTCTACCTAAAGATTTCATGAGACAAGATCACAAAGAAGAGTTATAGCAAAGGGAAATTGGATCTAGGAAATTCTAATATGCATTGTACTCATCTCTGAGTCATAGACCCTCTTGACTTCACCACAATTTACAGAAGACAAGCAACAGCCGATTGCCAGTGCCTTACACCTGTGATCCTAGCAGTAGCTAGGAGGCTGTGATCTGAGAATCATAGTTCAAAGCCAGCCTGGGTAGCAAAGTCTATGAGAGTCCCCCCTTCTCCTCACCCCCTTTTTTTTTGGTCAGTCATGGGGCTTGGACTTGGCCTGGGCATTGTCCCTGAACTCTTTCGCTCAAGGTTAGCACTCTACCATTTTGAGCCACAGCTCCACTTCTGGTTTTCTGATAGTTAATTAGAGGTAAGAGTCTCATGGACTTTCCTGCCTGACTGGCTTTGAACCATGATTCTCAGATCTCAGCCTCCTGAGTAGCTAGGACTACAGGTTTTAAGCCACTGGCATCCGGCATCTCACAGACTTTCTTACCCGGGGTGGCTTCAAGCCATCATCCTCAGATCTCAGTCTCCTGAATAGCTAGGATTACAAGCATGAGCCACCAACACCCAGCTCCATGAGACAGAAGTAGAACTATGGTTCAAGTGGTAGAGCACCAGCCTTGAATGAAAAAGCTAAGGGGCAGTGCCTAGGCCCTGAGTTCAAGTCCCAGTACAGGCACAAAAAGAGAGAAAGGAAGATCTACATGTTTGCAATTGTTGAAAGGCAATAGAGGGAATGATTGAGAGAGGGTAGGCTCTGAAATCAAATACTAGATTCAAATCATGCCCCATCAGCATACCAGCTGTGTGTCACTGAGCAAAACACTAAACTCTCTGTCTCAGTTTTCTTTCCCAAATGTAGATAATGATATTTCCTTTCTTATAAGGTTGTTGTGAGAATTGGATGATTAATGTAAAGTCTTGCACAGTGTCTGGATACATCATTTGCACTGACTGTCGGTGACCTATTACCTGAGCATACAGCCCTCAAGGGAAAAAGCTTAGGTGCCCCCACCAGACAGGACTAGAAACAGACCAGTAAATGTTCATTCTTGATTGGTCTGCTAGCTCCCCTCCCTTCACACACTACACACATACACACAGAGCCAATATATTTCTCTTCTCCATGGCAACCTCAGCCTTTTCTGGTAGAAGCTTATTTGCTGGAGCTGAGAACAAAACAATGACTTTGGTTTTGTTTGTGTGTTTTTCTTATGCCCAGGCACTCTGTCTAGACAGTTTTTCCCAGGCTTACTCTAACCTTTTGTCTGTAAGGGCAATGACAGGAGCAGAAGGTAAAGGAGACTATGCAAGAACTTAGCAGGATTTCTTTGTGTACTTTGGGGAAAAAATTCAATCAACAAATGTATTGAGAGAAGGACCGGAAGTGGCACTGTAGCTCAAGTGGTAGAGCGCTCGCCTTGAGCTGAAGAGCTGAGGGACAGCGCCCAGGCCCAGAGTTCAAGCCCCACGACCGACAAAAAAAAAAAAAAAAGAAGGACCACTTCTGGAAGGACCCTATTGCAAGGATAATAAGAATATAGCTGTTCCTATCATATAGGAGAAAAGTAATAGAGACAGTCGCAGAAATTCAGTAGGGGAGAGAGAAGAAAAGACTTCTTTGAGGAGACATTTTAGCAGAACTGAAGGATATACAAGGGTCAGTCAGATGGAAGCAGACAAAGAGCACTAGAGGTAGTGAAAACAAGTGCAGAGGCCCTAAGGCAAGGAAGAGCTAGCTCAGAGAATGTAAAGGAAGAGGACAGAACAGTCACGAAGCTAGAAATAAGGCAGGGCTATGACTGGAGGAGCTGAGCCAGGAGAGAATTTTTTTTTTAACTTGAATGGAATAAGGAAGCTGTAAAGAGTCTCCACATGATTTGACATGTACCACCTTACCCACCAGGCCCAGCTAGCCCGGGCTCTGTATGACAACACAGCTGAATCTCCCCAAGAGCTGTCCTTCCGCCGAGGGGATGTTCTACGGGTACTGCAGAGGGAAGGCGCTGACGGACTAGATGGCTGGTGTCTCTGCTCCCTGCATGGACAGCAGGGTATTGTGCCCGCCAACAGAGTGAAGCTCTTGCCGGCTGGCCCAGCACCCAAGTCCAGCCTCTCCTTGGTACCTCCTGCCCAGCCTGGCTCACCATGTGCAGCCCCAGAGCGCAATGATGAGGAACAGGAGGTAAGAACTGGACCTCCCCATCCGTAGGCCAGGAAAGCCTGTGCCTTTCCTCTGGGGAAAGCTGCTAGGAGGGCAGGGAGATCCCAATTCCACACTGCTTCACTGACTTTGCTTTGTGAAGTCTATCTGCCACCGCTTTGTTTTTGTTGTTGCTGTTTTTGGCTGGTCCTGGGGCCTGAACTTTGGGCTTGGGAACTGTCCCTGAGCTGTTTTTTTTCAGGGTTAGCTCTCCCCGCCACTTGAGCCACAATTCCACATGCTGCTTTTTTTGGTGCTTCATTGGAGAGAAGAGTCTCATGGACTTTCCTGCTGGGGCTACCTTTGAACAATGATCCTAAAGATCTCAGCCTCCTGAGTAGCTAGGATTATAGGCATGAGCCATTGGTGCCTGGCTATCCCACTGCTTTCTGAGCTCTATGTTCCTAGCAGCATGGGAAGGGGGGTAGGGGGAGCTGAGTTCCTTCAAGTCACACTTGTGGTTCACTGACCCATACACTCCTCCTGGCACACCCACCTGTCTTAATCCCCCAGGTATATGTGGTACCACCCCCAGCTCGGCCCTGTCCTGCTTCAGCTGGACCCTGCCCACCCTCCCCTGACCCCATCTACAAGGTTCCCAGAGGCAATGGGACCCAGCTGGCTGCCCCTGGAGAAGTCTTGGAGGTGAGGGCTAGAGGTCTGGGTGTGTTGGGTGAGGGACAGACAGCCTCAGGGAAGGTGCACATGGAGCTGAAGGCTAACTCACCCATTCCTCCTTCCAGGTCTATGATGTGCCTTCTACTGCCCTCCACCTTCCCTCTAGCAGCCCCTATGACTCCCCAGCCTCTTTTTCCCGCCCTCTGGCTGGGACTGTCCCACAACCCTCTGGAGAGAATGAAGCTCCCTATGATGTGCCTCTGGCCCCAAAGTCACCTACAGAGCTCGAGGCAGACCTGGAGTGGGAAGGAGGCCGGGAGCCAGGGCCTCCTTTCTATGCTGCCCCTTCTAACCTGAAACGAGCCTCAGCTCTCCTCAACCTATATGAAGCACCCGAAGAACTGTTAGCAAATGGGGAAAGTGGGGACACTGAAGAGGGCATCTATGATGTGCCCCTGCTGGGGCCAGAAGCGCCCCCTTCTCCAGAGCCCCCAGGAGCCTCGGCCACTAATGACTTGGACACTCTGGCCCAGCTTCTGGCCAGAAGCCCCCCACCATCACACAGGCCCCGGCTGCCCTCTGCAGAGAGTCTGTCCCGTCGCCCTTTGCCTGCCCTGCCTGTCCCTGAGCCTCCCAGTCCTTCTCCAGCTCCCTCACCTGCCCCAGGCCGCAAAGGCAGTATCCAGGACAGGCCTCTGCCTCCACCCCCACCCCGCCTGCCTGTGTATGGGGGCTCCAAGGCTGAGGGGGATCCAGAGGGCAGGGAGCTGGAGGATAATCCAGCAGGACCTCACAATGAGTATGAAGGCATCCCGATGGCTGAGGAGTATGACTACGTCCACCTGAAGGTAAACTGAGCCAGCTCCTCCCTGTAGACCCTTCATACTGTCCCCAAGAGAACCCCAGGAGAGAAGCAGGAGGCTGGGGGCACAGATACAGAGCCTTCTGCTCCCTCTTCCCCTCTCCCCTGGAACCCCAGTGCTTATCCACATCATTCCAAAGCAGATCCACACTCAGCCCAAAACCCAGCCAGGGCTACCAGAGCTCTGGCACTGCAGACCAAAGATGGTCACCTTTAACCGCAGGTGTATTCAGAAGGAAGGAGACTGGGGAGGGGCAGAAAGGCATGGAAGCCTCCTACCCTGTGTCTTCATCACTACACTTAAGGCCCAATCCCCTTTGCAGGGCATGGATAAAACTCAAGGACCTAAGCCTGTGGATAAAGCCTTACCTGGAGACTCTGAACTTCCGGACAGGGAGCTGCTAGAGAAGCAGGTAAAACCTTGGTGTAGGGTGTGGTAGAAAAGATTAGGAAAGGTGGGATTTGACCTGGGGCAGCAGAGTTTTTAATTAAACCATTCAAGGAGCTGGGTGCTGGTGGCTCGCAGCTGTAATCCTAGCTACTCTGGAGGCTGAGATCTGAGGATTGCAGGTTGAAGCCAGTCCAGGTAGGAAAGTCTGTGAGACTATCTCCAGTTAACCAGTACAAAGCTGGAAATGGAAGTGTGGCTCAAGTGGTAGAGCAGGGGCCTTGAGCAAAGAAATTAAGGGACTGTGCCTAAGCACTCATGAATTCAAGCCACAATAATGGCACCAAAAACAAGCAAACAGAAAACATCCAAGGCAATAGTCATGTGACAGGAGAGAGGAGTTAGGATTGGACGGAAGATGCTGGGGCATGGAGGAAGAAGATATTAGGAACTCGGAGGGGAAAGAATGTGTTGGCGAGGAATCAGCAAGGTAGTGGGGTGCAGAAGGAATTACTGGGCTGTGGGTCAGACCTGGGTCTTGTGACTCCTTGCAGCTGTGAATTCCTGGGTTCCTAAGAGACCTGGTTCCTAATCCCAGCTCTACCAAGAAGAAACTAGCTCCACAGCAATCATTTAATCTTTCTGGGCTTTAGCAAAGTGAGGTAGTTCCTTCCTCCCAGTCCAGAATACAAATTAAAAAATAGCTACCATCTGTCAGGTATTTACCAAGTGCCAGACCCTGTCTAGGCACACTGCACAAACATAATAATCAATGATGCTCAGATGCACTCAAGCCCATTCCATAGATTATGTCCATCAAATGTTTGCTGCAGCCTCAGATACATGTCTCCCAGTCCTAGGAGACAGGTGGCTCATGAGCACTTGAGATAGCCAGTCTGAATGGAAATGTGCTGTAAATATAAAACATACCAGATTTTGTATGCTTTGTGTGAAACAAATTTCCATGCTGATTACATATGAAAGCTATAGCATTTTCATATTTGAAGTTAGATAAGAATATATTGCCAAGCTTTTTTTTTTGAACTTTTCAATGTGGCTACTAAAATATTTTAAAATTCTGTTTGTGGTTTACATTGTTTATATTGGACAGTGTAGTACTAAGCTTCTTTGGTTTTGTTGCTGTTGTTCATTGCCGGGTGTGGGGGTTGTCTTGTTTGGGGAATTTTGTTGCCTTTTTGTTTTTGTGGAGCTGGGGATCAAACCCTGGGCCTCATATGCTAGACAAGAGCTGTACCACTGAGTCACGCCTCCAGTGCTAGGGTTTTTTTTTTGTTTTGTGTGTATGTGTCAAGAGTTAGGGCTTTAACTCAGGGCCTGGATGCGCTTCTGTTTTTCACTCAAGGCTAACACTCTACTACCTGACTTTTCACTGGCTTTTTGGTGGCTAATTAGGGATAAGAGTCTCATGGACTTTCCTGCCCAAGCTGGTTTTGAACCACAGTCCTCAGATCTCCTGTGTGAATCTATGAGCTACTGGCACCTGGCTTAGACTGTGTGTTTTTTGCCTTTTAGATAAGGAACCAAAGAAGTTCACAAACTTGTCTGCAGTCAAGTTTGAGGTTATTGGATCTAGGTCTGTCTGGCGTTAAGTCTGGATATTTAACTAAGAATCTAAATTTTCTGAATGGCAGAAGTAGGAACTGAGTGGGAGGGAAGAAGAAAGGCATTGGCAGGATGGCACTGATGAGCCACTTCTCACCCACCCTGCTCTTTCTCCACAGGAGACCGTGTCCTCAGGGGAGCTGGTGCCTCTGTCCCCCGGAGACCTACAGCTCCTGCATTTCTATGCAGGGCAGTGCCAGAGCCACTATTCAGCGCTACAGGTGGCTGTGGCAGCCCTGCTGTCCAGCACTCAAGCCAACCAGCCCCCATGCCTCTTTGTGCCCTACAGCAAGCAGGTGGTAGTGGCTGCTCACCGCCTGGTATTCGTTGGGGACACCCTAGGCCGGTTAGTAGCCTCCACCCCAATTCAAACACAGGTTGGGGCTGCAGGTACAGCACTGGGCCAAGCTTTGCGGACCACCGTGCTGGCTGTCAAGGGGGCTGCCCTGGGCTACCCATCCAGTCCTGCAATGCAGGAGCTGGCCCGGTGTGTGACAGAACTGGCAGGTCAGGCTCTGAGATTCACCACACTGCTCACCAGCCTGGCCTCCTGACGGTGTGATGGCACAACTCTGCCCCCCTCTTCCTGCCAGAGTCCTTCCTCCCTCCAGGTTTTGGATGTCTGAAAGACTGTTTTTCTCACCCTCTTCTGCTCATCTCAGCCTCTCACAGAGGCATCTCTTCCCCCAAACCCATCGCTTTTTGTATGAGCCATTTTATATAAATTATTTATATTTAATAATCCCTGCTTTGTCAGGGGCAGGCACCAGGCCCTCTGGGGCAGGGAGAAACTGGACTGTTCTTCAGCCTGGGTTGGAGGTAGCTGCACTGCTGCCTCCCTCCGAATGTTTGGTACACGGAGAATCAGGTGGCAGAAAACTTGGGGCAACACAGAACCTGTCTCCTGTCCTGTTTCTGGATTCCAAAGCATGAGTGCCTCACTAATATGCTGAGGGTGAGGTCAAGCCATTGACTTCTGCCCAGAATGTGAAGGTGTGGGAGGTACCAGGGGGCTCCTACCTTCAGATGAAAGGAGAGCTGAGCCTCAGGCAGAGATGTGCACTCAATAAACCCTATGGTCTGGCTCCCTGACTCTGCTTCTTGGGGGTCTATCTGGCCAGCACCCCTCCCTGTGGTGCCCCTTGCCCTGTACCACACATTGTGAAGGGATATTTTATTCCTTTAACCATCCCCTGGACTGGTTTTCACTCCAGAGAAGTGTGGAACTCAAAAGGTTCATGGTGAAAAGTGAGTGTGAAGTGGACATCAGTGAGTCAGTTATGGTTAAGTGCATTTTAAAATCCTGCCAGAGAAGACAGCTGCTAGTGACGCGATCAACTGGGTGATGAGAAGAAATGATGTATGTGAAAGGAGCCACCAGTGAAGGGGGACATAAGCCAGGAAAGCAGGGAGCTAACTCCCATGTTGACTTACGTAATAAGAACCAAGAAGGGTCTGGGACTATTTTCCCCCCACAAATTGCTTACCGAGGGGCTTTTCTCCAAGAATACATTGTCACAGCTGTCATTAGAGAGTGGTCTTGAAAGGTCACCTCAGTTTGTACCACAGGCCAAATCAGACCACATGGATGCCAAGAGAATCTAGTTCCTTACGCTTGCTTCCCAGGCTTCTTCCTGATCATCCTTTTAGACAAACCCATCTTGAGCTAAGGCAGCAAAGGAATGCAGTATGTTAGTAGTCCCTGGTCCTTGGGACTCAGTGAAACAGCCCATGGCTTATGTGAGCCATCGATCACTATAAGGGAAGATGTCTGAGCCACAGACCCATTGCTTCAAATCTGTTTCCCAAGAACCTGGCATGGTGATTAGGTCAGGAAACATCAATTTTAATCACAATCTTAGTATCTTGGCATCTCCTTGCTTTTAGTTCCTCCATTTGGGCTCTTTTCATTATCAAGGGAAAATTTTTCAGGTTTTAGAGCCAACAAAATTCATCCATAATATGTTGAAGCCTTCTTCCTGCTAGACAGTATTTTCAGAGATTAGCCTGGAACTGGAGTCAGTGGTTTCAGCTCAAGTCTCAAATCTACCCTGGACTCTGGATAAATCATGCCACTCTCTCTGAGACTTGGTTTTAGCTTTAGTGTAAAGATAACCAGTCAGGTGCTGAAGGCTAACACCTGTAGTCCTAGCTACTCAGAAGGCTGAGATCTGAGATCATGGCTGAAAGCTAGCCCAGGCAGGAAAGTCTGTAAGACTGTTTGCTCCAATTAACCAGCAAAACAAAAAGTTGAACTGTGGCTCAAAGTGGTAGAGCACTGCCAGGCGCCCGTGGCTCACCCCTGGAATCCTAGCTACTCAGGAGGCTGAGATCTGAGGATCAAAGCCAGCCTAAGCAGGAAAGTCTGTGAGACATCTCCGGTAAGCCACTAGAAGACCAGAAGTGGCGCTGTGGCCCAAGTGTTAGAGCTCTCATCTTGAGCTGAAGAGCTCAGGGACAGCACTCAAGCCCAGAGTTCAAGCCCCACGACCAACCAAAAAGAAAAGTGGTAGAACACTAATATAGAGCAAAAAAGCTCAGGGACAGTGGCAAGGTCCTGAGTTCAAGGCCACAGCTGACAAAAAAAAAGAAAAAAAAATACTGGTCTTGCAGAGTTGTGAGGTCTAAGGAGGAAAATGCATGTGAACTGCCCAGCACTTCACAGGATTATTTGAGACAAATGGATATAGATAAATTCCCACAGTGTGTTAGCCATGATAGCATCATAGTAATTCTGGAAGAGATGCTTAAAATGAATTGTGGGACAGGAGATAGGCTGCCCGATGCTTTAGAGAAGGGTTTGGGGCTGCAGACATGGCTTAAGAGGTAGAGGGCTGCCCAGAAGGTAGAGGGCTTGAAGAGGCTCCCAGTTCAAGCCCAGGACCTCAAGGGGGTTTGGGGAAAAAAGGAGAGGGGAGGTTCCTGTATTTGGAAACCTTTTGAACAAAGGAAACAAGATAACAAGTATGGTTCAATAGAGAAAAATAAAGTATTTCCTCACTGAGATTTGAAGTTTCTTTCCAACCTTTGCTGGAAAAGGAATTGAGAATAAAGTACCTATTAAGTGCCCAATTTCAGAGACTTGTATCTCTAACCTTAATGGACACAGCCTTGGGGAATCTAGCTGAAGTTTATGGTTAAAGGGTAAGTACAGTGAGGCCATCATTCCATTGCTAACAAGATCCCAAGTGACATACAGGCTACTAGTCTATCAAATTTTGAGTGGCAGTTCTAAGAAGTCTTCTCTAGGGCAAAGATTTTAAGCTAATAGCTAATAGACAAGGAAAACTTGATTAAGCTGCACACTATGACCCATTCTTGTCATTCTAGCTACTAAGGAGGCTCAGTTCTAAGGATCTTGGTTAGAGGCTAGCCTGGCCATAAAAATCCAAAAGACTTATCTTCAACTAATCAACAAAAAGCTGGAAGTAGATCTGTGGCTCAAGTAGTAGAATGCCAGCCTTGTGCAAAAAATCTAGGGATTAGTGCACAGGCCCCAGTATTGGCAGTAAATCTTGATTTAGAGCCTTCTAGCTAGGTGTCTGTGACTTACATCTGTATTCCTACCTACTCAGGAGGCTGAGATCTGAGGACCACAGTTCGAAGCCAGTCCAGGGAGGAAAGTTGGTGAGACTATTATCTCCAATTAACCACTAACAAAGCTGGAAGTAGGGTTGTGTGGTCCAAGTGATAAATGCACTAGCCACAAACAAAAAATGCTCAAGCGCAATGCCCAGGCTCTTAAGCTCAAACCCCAGGACCCGGGTGTGTGTGTGCACACACAGCCTTCCAGTCGTAGGAGCCAGATTGTGCAAAGGCCCTGTAAAACTTAGAGAACTGGAAGAAGACCAAGTAGCAGGAATGTAGACTTTGAGGAAAGAAGTGCAATGGGGTGTAGAGAGCATGCAAGATCACATATGAGGTGTTCAGAGTATTTACCATTAAAGATGGGGGAAAACACACCCACAATCAGACCTTTGGTTTGAAAAGATCATTCCATCCACACCAAAACAACAGATGGGGAGGAGGTAGAAACAGAGGATGTAGAACGCCAGTTGGGAATTAAGATGCTACAGTACTCTTTGGAAGTGGTAAGGATGCATTTGAAAATAAACAGGTTAGAGTAGAAAAGAGTATAAGTTTGGTCTTGATCAAAGTTAAGTCTGAAGTCTCTATGAGACATTCAAGGCATGTGGTCTAACAAGAGGCTGCTTGCCTTAAGGATACCAGGCTCAGGAGAGAGCTGGAGATGTGTATGGAGGAATCGTGTGTGTGTGTGTGTGTGTGTGTGTGTGTGTGTTGGTGATCAGAAAGCCTGAATGAGGCAAGAGAAGGGCCTAGGACCAAGTCTCAGGGTTGCAGACAGCAATGGTGAGGAAAAGGTCAGGAGGTGTGCCTGCAATGGTGAAAAGGATCAGAAGAAAGAAAACTTCAGGAATGTGGGACTTAGCTGCCCAGAGAGTGTAGAAGAGGTGGTCAGCAGTACCAAATGATGAGAAACAATGGAGATTTTAGTAGTTTTGTCATGATACAACTCAGAGAGGTGGTTCCCAAGTGGGGCATTAAAGCTAGAAGGTTTAGTTGCTACCCCAGTTCCCCATATGCATAAGCCCTGTGCAATTACCTGTCTATAAATCTGCCTATCCCCAAGTCCCTTCCTCCAAGGTGGCCTTGTCCATCCTCTTATCTCCACAATCTAACACAAGTCCAGGAGCATAGGTGCTTAATAAATTTTGCTGATGAAGGATTGAGGGTGGTGGATGGATGGATGGATGGGTGGGTGGGTGGGTGGCCAAATTAATGAATGAGTGAGTGAATGAATGATAGAGAATTGGGAGCAAAGGAGGAATCGGGCAATATGTCTGAACTGCCTATCATCCTACCATCTTTTTCTCTTTTTACCGCAATGACTCGCAGACCCAAGGAACAGACGACAAAGCCCCCAGTCCCTCCTTCCCCTGGGCTCCATGCCTCCCTGCCCCCCCTACTCTGACGAAGAGTCTGGACCCAAGGTTCTGGTGACGTGGGAAGGGGAGGAGAGTCTGGAGGAAGGGGAGGGGAAAGCAGCAGAGAGATCGCAGAGACCGAGGAGGCGCCCGCGGCTGCAAAGCTGCAGAGCGGGGTCTCTTTGGGCTCTCCGGGTCCCCGCACCTGGCGCGCAGCTGGGCCTGAGAACCGCACATCCTTTTGGCACAGGCCCCCAAGGCCTCTGCAGTCGGCAAGCTGGCTCCCCGGGTCGCTACCGGGACCCCCGAGCCCAATGGCGGGGGCGGCAACAAAATCGACAGCACGGTAGAGATCACCCCCAGCTCCAACGGAGTAAGTGCCCGCGCCCTGGGGGGCTCCGCCACCCTCTCCCTGCACCCCGGCCCCCCACAGGCCCCCTGCCCTCCCCCTTTGCCCTAGCCCCCGCGCCTGCCCTCCGCGCCCTCCCCTCGCTCTGCAGCGTTCTCCACCCTTCTGCCCCCGCCCCCCCCGCCCCCGTCCCCTCCGCAGGTCGGGACCCTCGGAGATGCGGTGCCCACCGAGCAGCTGCAGGGTGAGCGCCAGCGCCCGCGCGAGGGGGAGGGCGACGGGCTGGGCAGCAGCCTGTCCCTGGCGGTGCCCCCGGGCCCCCTGAGCTTCGAGGCGCTGCTAGCCCAGGTGGGGGCGCTGGGCGGCGGCCAGCAGCTGCAGCTCGGCCTCTGCTGCCTGCCCGTGCTCTTCGTGGCTCTGGGTATGGCCTCGGACCCCATCTTCACGCTGGCGCCCCCGCTGCATTGCCACTACGGGGCCTTCCCCCCCAATGCCTCTGGCTGGGAGCAGCCCCCCAATGCCAGCGGCGTCAGCGTTGCCAGCGCGGCCCTAGCAGCCAGCGCCGCCAGCCGCGTCGCCACCAGTACGGACCCCTCGTGTAGCGGATTCGCCCCGCCGGACTTCAACCATTGCCTCAAGGACTGGGATTACAATGGCCTGCCCGTGCTCACCACCAACGCCATCGGCCAGGTGAGGCGGCCAGGCCAGGCCAGGCCAGGCGAGCGGCGCGGCGCGGGGCGCGCGGGGAGGGGGGA